TCAACATGTTGGTTTTATGAGAAAATGATGGTTGTTCTTCAATTGCTGTTTAGACGCTCGGTTTCTACTCATGACCATCTGCATTACACTACATTACACTACACTACACCTAACTACACTACAACTACAACTACACTCCACAACTACACTCCACTACACTCCACTACACTATATAAACTACACTGCACTACACTCCACTACACTACACTACATTACACAACACTACAACTACAACTACACAACTACACTCCACTACACTCCACTACACTAAATTACACTACACTACACTACACTATTACACTCCACTACGCTACACTACACTACAGTACACTACACTACACTACCTTCCACTTCACTTCACTACATTTACACTACACTACACTCCACTACAACTACAACTACAACTACACAACTACACTCCACTACAATACACTCCACTACACTACACTACATTACACTACACTACACTCCACTACACTACACTACGTTACACTACACTACACTACCTTCAACTACACTTCACTACATTACACTACGCTACACTCCACTATACAACTACAACTACAACTACACAACTACACAACTACACAACTACACTCCACACTACACTACACTACATTCCACTACATTACACTCCACTACACTACAACTAAAACTACAACTACAACTACGACTACACAACTACACTCCACTACATTCCACTACACTAAATTACACTACACTACATTACACTACACTACACTGCATTCCACTACACTCCACTACACTACACTACATTACACTTCACTACATTACACTGAATGACACTGCACCACAGATAGACAGGTAGACAGATAGACAGACAGACAGACAGACAGATAGATAGACAGGTAGACAGCTAGACAGATAGACAGATGAAAGGGAGAAAGAGAGAGAGAGAGAGAGAGAGATAGATAGCCAGCTAGCTAGCCTGCTAGCTAGCTAGCTAGCTAGCTAGCTAGATAGATAGATAGATAGATCGATAGATCGATAGATCGATAGATAGATAGGTAGATCGATAGATAGATAGGTAGATAGATAGATAGATAGATAGGTAGGTAGGTAGGTAGATAGTCAGAGAAAGAGAGAGAAAGAGAGAGAAAGAGAGGAGACCTCAAGCACCTTTCGGTCCATCAGTGGATTCGCTCTGCCATCCCTGATTCACAACAACCAATCTCTCCTATAGGTTTCCTATTTTTGAAACTTCCGCCACCGTCTTGTGCGGTACTACTGGTATAACATAATAAAACATTGTCTGTTGCACATTTGTTTCAAAAAAAATCATTCTCGGGTCATCAGTCTGTTTTGCCTGGAGTTTGAAAATCCAACAGCATTGTTTCCAATGAATCCACTCCCTCGCAACTCTATGGCTGAGGTGGACCTGATCTGAAGGTCTTTGCTTCTCCAGTCTTTGAGTACCTGACAGTTTGGCACAGGGCTGCAGCATGCTCAACGTATCTGCACTCTTTGAATTGAAAAAGTTTGAGATGCACTGAGATGCACTCTGTCATTTCGCCTCTCGGCAAAAACTTGCAGGCTTTTTCCTTGTGTGAAGTCCTGTCACATGCTTTCTCCAATCTCTCATCTTTCACATGCTTTTCAAAATTGGCTTTTCAGATCCAGTGGATGCCTTCTGCAGCTGCACTGGCTGCGTCACAAACCTCGATGCACTCAGCATCTCCCAGCTCCCAGCAACTCCCAGCATCTCCCAGCAAGATTCTCAACAGCGTCTCAAATGTCTCAAGTTAGAAAGCATTCCTTGCTTGACTTCTGGACTTCGCACTACGCTGAATGCAAGAAAGCAACGTCGGGGAGCTAGACTGGAGGTGGAGCAAAGCGCATGCACCTACAAGTACAATGTCACAGTCAGCAGGATCTGTGTTGCTTTGTGAGCCCACAACTTGCAAAAACTGTTACCACCAAAGCCAAGTGGCCTGCCACTGATGAAAGGGCCACAACCTCTTTCTTTGAGATGCCTCGCTATAGACTTGCGACATCTTGTGACTGGCTTGGAAGACAAAGTGTTCATGTTGTTGGGAGGAGGGTAGACTCTCCAAGTAAGTGCCAGACCTCTCTTGGATGGTGAAGCCTGTTGGGACTGGTCCAGTCAACGCCATGAAAATTTGCGCATTGGACAAATTGTGAACGAATTCTGGTAAGTCCATTCCTTTTCAAAAAGAAACAAGCCAGAGAGTCCATCCCGGCGTGGTCAGCTCCAGCCAACACCCTTGGCAAACGTAAAGAGCTGAGTCCAAACATGCTTATTTCATCTTATTTCTATGCTTTTCTGTAATGTTCTATGAGTACCTGCATACACTATACAAGTCCTGACCAGTTGCAGCCTATCAAAACCAAAACCATATTCGGGTCTGAGAAAGTACAAAGGCCCGTGCGAAATTGGCCGATGATTCTGGACCAGGAAAGCTTAGATCCACAAATTGGCCGATGTTCAAATTTCTGGCCAAGAATTGGATCAAAGTCTGACAATCGGCATTGAGTCTGCATAAGCTTTGCGCAATAAGTGAACTCGGGACTGCATCTTTTTTTCCCCTTTTGTGATTGCTGCAAGACTTCACCGCCGACTTCAAGCCGGCCCTATGTTTGAGACCTATGCCTTGGCAGGCTTGACATTAACTTTGGCCTGTGGCGTTGTGAGCATCTGCACACTGCCAGCCCTGCTACAGCAAAAATCCTCGCATCAGCCTGCTAACCGCCAACAACACTTCAATAACACTTCACCAGTACGACCGCTAATTGTAGCACCGAATGTTTGGCGAGCGAGGAGGAAAACAGAATGATCAGAAAATCCAAATTGGTATTTGAATTACGTTTTCTGATCGTATTGTCCATCTGATGTCCCAGTCTCGGCTTCTTGAGGCTGCAAAAGGATCACCATGGCAGTGACCTGAAGGTACAATCGACAGCTGCCGGTTTGACGCTGTACGGATCTCATGAATCTTCCATACATCTAGAACGGTTGTGCATGTGATGTACATGTTGATTTAAGCCAAGATGGCGAAATCTGGTCAATCTACAAGTGGCACTAGATGTATCAAAGCCAAGTCCACCTAACTGCAAGCCGGGGGCATTGTCACCTCCGGCTCCACCTGTCTGCGCCTTGTCAGGTCACAGTATCACAAAATCGTCACAAGGAGCTGCTGAAAACATCTGACCACTTCGAGGCTGAAACGAGATCAGGGCTGCAACTTGCGTCAACCAGGTCCTCCAAAGAAAACTGGTGACCTTGTCAGCCTTGTCCATGTTAGAAATAGTTAAACCCCGCCAGAACTACAACTCTATTCGTGGTGATGGCAGGTTTGCGCCATGCATTTTTTTTGATAGTCCAAGATCTCATTGTTGTCGTTTTTCGGCTATTGATTTCGTACGTGAGATATGACGTGACGAGGAAAACATCTGGTTTTTGATAGAAAGCCTGTATGCATGCACGATGATTTCTTTGTAAAAACATACCAGCCATATCCATTGTATCCATTGTATCCATACATAGTTTGCCAAACATAGAAAACCTGAGCTTCAAATCTGCCCTGTGCCGTCGACCAGGTCCTCCACAATCTGCTGGAGACTCCTGCCATAGAAACATCCGAGCAACTCCGAGCAGAGCAGCTGGAATTTTGCTCTACTACAAGGTTTTTGTACCTTGGGTTGTAATGCAATTTCAAGCTTCAGTATCAGGTTATAAGAGGTGTGGTCTGGTGATAGATCCAGGCAGCGCCTGCACTGGTGTAATCCAGTGCGAATAAGGTCCACAACATCCTTCGGCAGTGAAGAAATTTGTCAGTTCAACTCACATGTTGTTTCAACGTTCGTCTCGTTGAGGTTGAGCTATGAAAATTTGGGTTGTGGTGAGATGGTTTGGACATGATTCATCCCTGACCTACATTCATGTTGCTCGATCAAAAAACGGCAAACAAATTGTGAAATTACAAAACAAAACCTGTCACTAAAGCACCACATGTTTCGGTTGTTTGTCGATGTTGATGTTGATGTCGATGTTGCTGTTGTTGTTGCTGTTGTTGTTGTTGTTCTTGTTGCTCTTCTTGTTCTTGTTGTTCTTGTTGTTCTTGTTGTTCTTGTTGTTTTTGTTGTTGTTTTTGTTTGTTCTTGTTGTTCTTGTTGTTCTTGTTGTTCTAGTCGTTTTTGTCGTTCTTGTTGCTGTTGTCGTTGTTGTTGTTTGTTGTTGCTTGTTGTTGTTTGTTGTTGTTTGTTTGTTGTTGTTGTTGTTTGTTGTTGTTGTTGTTGGTGTTGGTGTTGGTGTTGGTGTTGTTGGTGTTGTTGGTGTTGTTGGTGTTGTTGGTGTTGTTGGTGTTGTTGGTGTTGTTGGTGTTGTTGGTGTTGTTGGTGTTGTTGGTGTTGTTGTTGTTGTTGTGTTGTTGTTGTTGTTGGTGTTGGTGTTGTTGTTGTGTTGTTTGGTGTTGTTGGTGTTGTTGGTGTTGTTGGTTGGTTGTGTCGTTTGTGTTGTTGTGTTGTTGGTGTTGTTGGTGTTGGTGTGTTTGTTGGTGTTGTTGGTGTTGGTGTGTTGGTGTTGGTGTTGGTGTTGGTGTTGTGTTGGGTGTGTTGTTTTGTTGTTGTTGTTGTGTGTTGGTTGTGTTTTGGTGTTGTTGGTGTTGGTGTTGTGTGTGTTGGTGTTGGTGGTGGTGTGGTGGGGGTGGTGGTGTTGGTGGTTTTGGTGGTATTGGTGGTGTTTTGGTTGTGTTGGTGGTGGTTGGTGGTGTTGGTGGTGTTGGTGGTGTTGGTGGTGTTGGTGGTGTTGGTGGTGTTGGTGGTGTTGGTGGTGTTGTTGTTGTTGTTGTTGTTGGTTTGTTTTTGTTTTTGTTTTTGTTTTTTGTTGTCTGTTTTCTGTTTTCTGTTTCGTTTTTGCTTTTTTTGTTTGAGTTTTTGTTTTTGTTTTTGTTTCTGTTGGTTGTTCTTTGTTGTTGTTGTTGTTGCTGTTGCTGTTGTTGTTTCTGTTGCAAAGTTGTACTAACCTCGCGGTGTCTATGAAAGTTCTTGTCCCAATGAGGCATGTTCACATCGCGCATGGCTTGTGGCAAGTGTTGAGGCAGGCAAAATGAGGAATCACATGGCATTTCAATTTCACTACTTCAAGCCTAAAGCGTTCCCGGCCTGGTTGGAATTCAATTCGAAAATTCCATCACAACCAAGAAAAAGAAATTCGTCCTCCGGAGTCACCTGACATGGTGAAAATGGAACCAGTAGGGCCCCAAACCCCCCAAAAATATCAAAATCATAAAAAAAAAACCATAAGATGTTTGGAGAACAAACTGCAAAAGACTGCGGAAAACGGTTGAAAACTGCAAACGACGACGTCACGCTCAGCACACAGTGGCATACAGAGCACCTGAAGTACCTTGACATCTGGTTCTGCCGAAACCTTCTGCTCACTCGCTAGAAGGTCCTGGGTCAGAACAGGACAAACAAAGATGAATGTACACAGTGTACAAGATGCAAGATGCAGATTGTATGATATATGCATGCGTACGTGTGTAGAAACGTTCGCATATACACGATATAAATATACATTTATGTATAATATATATATATATACATATGAGTAACGTGACATGTGGTGTACAGTGTGAAACATGCTGTTTAACACTATGAGATACTGCACACCGAAACATATGTGTGCAGGTGTGTATAATACATACATTATTCAGTCACATATGAGTACATAGTTTAATGTGCAGTTGCATGTGATTTGATGTGATATGATATTATACATTTGCATGCATTTGTTGTGTTTTATTCTTGAGCAAGTGCTTGTATTGTATATCCAACTGCTCGAAAAGTTGGTCTTGGAGTCGTGCCTCACGTGCTTTGTAGTGAAAGTCTCCAAGCGCTCGTGACAGGTTCAATCCTCGGAAGGACTACGATGATTTGGAGCAGTGCATTGATAGTTGCGAACTAGAATGACAAAGACTCACCTCCCAACTACTAACTACTATATTAAATATATTCTGTACCAGTTTGTTACCAGCATGTTCCGCTTGTCTTGGGGCTTAAGTTGATAAGAACAACTTCGCTGCATGTGCTTGGGACACTCACCCCATCCATCAATACGGTAACAAGGTCCAACAGCTCCAACAGATCCTCCAGCCTAAGCGAAGGATCGTGCTGTGCTATGCTGTGGTCTGGGCACAAGAGCTAGAGGCAAGATGTATAAAATTCATTTGTTACATGTAAAAAACATCTTTATGTCACTCAATACTGTGAATATCTGCTTGTTTCCTCGATACTGAATCTAATACTGAATCTAAATTTATTCGACAGACTTTTTGAAGAGACGTTCTAAGCTGTTGGCATTCTCTATTCGAGCTCGTTCGGTTGGCCTCAGGTCAGCTGAAACCTTTAAAATCCTTTGAATTTGCCCTTTCATGCAAATTGTCCACCGCCGTCCCAACTGCCCAGCTCTCCAGGAATCTCCAGGAATCTCCAGGAATCTCCAGGAATCTCCAGGAATCTCCAGGAATCTCCAGGAATCTGGGGGTTGGACAAATCAGGCTTGTGGTCATCTGACAATGGCAGCGCCTCAAGTCGCAACAAATCGGTCTCGAATGATCTTCCCTCCTGTACTCTCAGCTTTGACAATAAAGCTTTGGGGGCCGACAACGCCAGCTCTGCAAACGATCGCCCGTGAGTCTCCCAGATTAGCCACAGTCACCTGAGAATCACAAGCTTAAATCCAGAAACCATAGCTAGTAACAGCTAGTAGTGTCTTTCAGATCCAGAAACCGGCCTGCAGCGGCTTTGAGCTTTCTGGTGGACCGTCACATTCCACCATGGCCACCACAGCAGTGCTGCCCATCAGCCCGAAAGCGTTCCTTCAGAACGGCGGCAGAAAAACATATGTTACTCAAATTCATATGATTCTATACATAATTATATATGTTGTATATATTATATAGTTTGATAAGTTCGATGAGATTGATGCTGATGATGATGATGATGATGATGATGACGACGGTTTGCACTGTGAGTGTAACGTGATTGCAAAGCATGTGAGACTTACTTGGCTTTACCTTGAGTCTATCTTGGTTTTCCTTCTACCTAAGGACTCACCTGTTCCAAAAGCAGACATCCTTTGACTTTGACAGGGTCCTTACTGAGCTCTCAATGGGCTTGCCACCACCTGTTGAAGCCAAAGCAAACTGTCAAAGAAGATCAAACAAGGCTGCCAAAATGCCGCGATATTTTGCGAGATTCAACTTAAGAGATCTTAAGGGACTTTATAGGAGTTCACTTAATTTAAGTTTAAGCATTTTTGCATTTGACAACAGCTGAATGCAGGGCCTGCAACATGTAGAAAGCCAGGCTCGCCCTCTCCATCACGTCGCAAGCCCTGCCAAATCAAGAATGAGAAATGCATGAACAGCCTGCAAACGTCTGCAGACTAAGTACTCCCACGACCCCTTGACATTTTCTTGATTTCCAGTACGCGCATTGTCGCAAATTGTATCGTTCATTCATTTCATTCATTTCATTCATTTCATTCATTTCATTCATCATTCGTTTGAATCAGTGTACTGCGTTGTACTGCGTTGTACTGCCATGTTTCGAGTCTCATGGCCTCATCCAAAGTGACAAGTGCATTGCCTTGGCTGTGAATGTGTTGTCTGCTTCAAACTACTCATTCTCAGGCAGTTCTTTTATGCTACGCTCTTGATTCACTATCAATAAGACGGAATGAAGAGGATTGAGATAATCTGCATTGGACTGAATTGGTAGATTGTCAGTGGATTACAATGATGAGTCGTATACAATGATGAAGGCAACTGCGCTCTCTGAGCCAGTGCCAAGAGAAAAGGTTCATTCAACAAGGCTTTCAGACTGTGAAATTATGACCGTCCAAGCTCAGCGTCTGAGTAGCAGGCGAATGACAGTTTCTGGAAAGTTTTGTGCATCTGGCACAGCACAAGAAACATACAAAAGCATACAAAAGCTACCCAAACCGCGCTGTCAAAGAAATGCAGTGCACAGCAAGGGCATGCAAGAATCCAAAGAATTCCAAAGAATTCCAAAGAATTCCAAAGAGCCTTGCGTATCGAGCATCGATTCAAGAGCACAAGACTGGAGTCTCTTTGGCCTGCGCCGTGCTCCAGCTCCAGAGTTTTGAAGCAACGACAGCAACGACAGCAACAACAGCAACGACAGCAACGACAGCAACGACAGCAACGACAGCCGGAACGACTCTCGGAACGACTCTTTGGATTTCCGTCGGATTTCCGTGGCCAGGTGCTGGGCTCCTGGCAATTCTCTCGCTGCATATCTGGATACCACGGACCCGCCGTGGCCATCAAAAACCCCGAACCTAAGACATCGTAGACATCTAAAACAACAAGCGTCGCACCAGTCATAGCATCTAACGAATCTAACAATGTGCGCAGTAAACACAACATGAAGCTAAGCACAACTCAGCGCGTAATTTTCAAGAGGGTGCTGAAGCAGAGTGACGCACGCCGCATCCTGACGTAGCAAAGTCCATGGTGATCCCTTTGCAGATGTCTGACACTTGCGCAATGTGCAACGACAGCGTCGAGTGTCCTCCATTGCTGGCCTCCAGCCCCTCATTTCTGAGGAAGCACAGGATAGAACCGACCTGACCGAAAAAAGTCTTCTTCACAGCTTTCGATCATGGCAAGCCCTCCTTTGATCTTTTCTTTGTAATTCTATCACGTTTTTTAAAGTAGGCCACTAGGCTTGGCACAAGTCCCCTGACTCAGTCTGCTTCTGTCGGTCAGGACCCTGTTGATCGGCGCAAACCTTGAGATATAGTGCGAAGAGCCATAAGTTCAAATGTGCTCACAGTCCGTCGAGTTTTGGACTCCTTTCCGGTCTAAGCTCCTTGCAAATGTACTGTCAGCTCCAATTTGCCGTGGCTGCACTCCCTGCCACAATGGATCGAGCGCTATGCCATGCTTTCAAGAGTCTCAGACATCGCGTCTCGCAAGGTGAAGTTTTGCATGTGCTGTGCTGGTGAGCACAGCACAAAATGTACTTTCTGAGACATGCTCTTGCTGGGTGAAACGCCCAGACTTTGGCGACTTTGGCCAACAGTCAAAACCGCAAGGAACCGATTGTACCTTTATAATATGAGAAAAAATAAGACAATGCTGCTTCTACTGTGCATGATGGAGTCAGATCACCTCAGATCTGATATAAACAAAGGGTCTGGAATTGTTTGGGGATTTTGTTTTCCGTTGTGGGATTTCTTGGGATTTCCTGTTCCGTCCATTTTCCTTGCTATTTGCAGCATTTTGGAGCTGGAAGCTGCCATTTCAACGGTATTTGTAGCAGTTTTGAGTTCGAACCTCTAGTGACATTTTATTTATACATTTTGGTGCTCGAACTGTTCATGTAACATGCTAGTTTGCAACTAAAGTTCATATTTAGGGTTGGTTTTAGGGTTAGTTTTTGTTAGGGATGGTTTAAAGTTTTTTAAGCATTGGTTTTTTCCGGGTTCCCGTCGCAACCCTTTCGCACGAAATGAGGTTCGAGCGCCAAAAACTGGTGTAAAATTACGATTTGCAAGTGGTCCCGGTGGGCCCTTTCGCACGAAATGAGGTTCGATCGCCAAAAACTGAGGTAAAATTGCGATTTGCAAGTCGTCCCGCGAACCCTTTCGCACGAAATGAGGTTCGATCGCGGAAAACTAGAGTTAGGGTTTGTTTGGGATATTTAGGGTTGGTTTTAGGGTTTATTCAACCAAGCTATTTAGGGTTAGTTTAGGGTTCGTTTAGGGTTCATTTAGGGTTGGTTTTAGGGTTTACTTAGGCTTGGTTTAAGATCTATTTAGGCTTGATTTGGGATTAGGTTGGTTTTAGGGTGTATTTAGGCTTGGTTAAGATCTATTTAGGTTTGGTTTAGGATCCATTTAAGACTGGTTTAGGGCTTATTTGGGGTTTGGTTTGGGGTTTTGTGTAGGCTTGTTTTAAGATCTATGTATGTTGATTTGGGATCTTTTTAGGGTTGGTTTTAGAGTTTATTTAAGCTTGGTTCAGGATCTATCTAGGGTTGGTTTCAGACCTATTTAGGGTTGGTTTAAGGTTTGTTTAGGGTTGGTTTGGTTTCACATATATTTGGGGTTGGTTGGGATCTATTTAGGTATGGTTTTAGGGTGTATTTAGACTTGGTTAAGGATCTATCTGGAGTTGGTTTAGGATCTATTTAGGGTTTATTTAGGCTTGGTTTAGGATCTCTCTGCACTTGGCTTAGGGCCTATCTAGGGTTTAAAAGGTTTAGGGTTGGCTTAGGATCTATTTAGGGTTGGTTTAGGGTTTATATATTTAGGATTAGGTTCAGATTCATTTAGGGAGTGTTTTTAGGGTGTAGTTAGAGTGGCTTTAGTGTTTTTTTGGTTGGTTTGGGGCTTATTGGATTGATTTAGGGCTGATTTGGGGTTTATGTATTATATGATGCTTCTTAGGGTTTATCTACAGTATGAGGAACAAAAGAAGCAGGGAAAAGCAAAAAAGCAGAGAAGCTGGAAAAGCAGAAAAGCAGGGAAAAGAGAAAAGCGGAGAAGCAGAGGGGCAAAGAAGCAGAAAAGCACAAAATCAGAGAAGCAAAGAAGAAAAGCAGAGAAGCAGAGAAGCAAAGAAACAGAAAAGCAGGAAAACGCAGAAAAGCAGAGAAGCAGGCAAGCAGGGAAAAGCAGAAAAGCGGAGAAGCAAAGAAACAGAAAAGCAGGGCAACGCAGAAACGCAGGAAAGCAGGGAAAGCGGAGAAGCAAAGAAGCAGAGAAACGCAGAAAAGCAGAGAAGCTGGGAACCAGAATTTAAAAAAACTAAAAAAAAAAAACAACTAATTTATTAATCAGTTGATTGATTAATTGATTAATCAATTAATTAATTAATTAATTAGCTCTCCATAAACAAATGCTCTCGAACGTTGAACAACTCGGATGTCTTTGCAAGTACCACATAATGCCTTGCCCTTTGCTTTGCCGCCCTTCTTGCCACCTGGGCTTGGCGCGTGAGAGCCAAAGTACAGTTGCACATTGTGTCCCGGCTCAGTTGATACTGAGAGGCATACCTCTTAGGGCAGAGATTCGAACAGTGCCTCAGGTCACATGAGGTGCGCCGCAAATAGGGACCACCGGCAAACTTATTGCAGCAAAGGTGAGCTGCGGACCTTCCTTGTTGATGCTTCGTTGGATGTGGAATTTCCTTGCCAGCGCGTGCCAATACAGACAAACGGGACGCAGGACAAAAGGTCGGGGATTGCACATTGCCTACAAACAGAAGGCAACTGGCAACAGGATTAATAATATGCGGATACATGCTAGCAGCAGGTTGAGGGTGTGAGGTCGTATTTTTCATATTTTCAGTCAGAAGGTCTAAGAAGCATGATGAGAGCATCTGAGAGCATGTAATGAATGGATGTGAATGGATGTGAATCCACATGAGAGTTAATATGAATCCATAGATATCGATACATGAAACTCAAATCAATTGAAATCAATTGAAATCGATTGTAACGCAGTACTTCGCTTCAGCTTTGGGCCCTGGCGTAGGAAACTGACCTCGTGGAGGCGGTGCCCAAGCCTCAGGGCACCAGCAAAAACATCCTCTGCGTTGAGTCCCTGTCTTTCGCTTGGGATCTGGTTATCCCATGTTATCTCCTTAAACCTGCTTCTATCATTGTCTATCATATTTTACCATCTTAAATCATGCTATATATATAATCTAATCTTATATCATCTTATATTACCTTAGATCATGTTCTATCATATTGTGCCATCTTATGCCATCTTATGTCATCTTATATCCTCTTATATCATCTTATATCGTCTTATATCATCTTATATCATCTTATATCATCTGTTATCATCTTATAGCATCGTATATCATTTTATATCATATTATCATCTTATAACCTATATCATCGTATATCATCTTTTACATATAATCTTACATCCTCGTATATCATCTGGTATCATCTTATATCATCTTATAATATCGTATTCTACCACTGTATATCATATGTTGATCATAATAGATCATCTTATATAATCTTATTTCATCTTATATTGTCTTATGTCATCTGCTATCATCTTATATCATCTTATATCGGCTTACTTTGAACCTGTCAAAATGGAAAAGAATCAGCCCTCGTAAACAATTCCGTGGCGACCTGCAATCAAACTATAAGTTTTCAGGAATAGATAAGGAATCGAGTTTGCCTTTGTGTGTCACTTCTGTAGTGCCAAGCATGGCATTTACTGGGTCCATCTGGGTCCCTAATGTACCATTACGTAGCGGGGAAACTGGTCAAAAGCTGTCCAATGAAGCGTAAGAACCGCGACCTCCCTGTGACAGAATTACACCCCTGCCATTACAGGTAGAAAGACCTCGCATCTTGGGTGATGAAAGGTGTCTGACACCCGCTGACTGCATTCGCTAGGGTTGGTTGCATGTTTGTATGCATTTGTACCGTTATTTCCGTCATTATCTCAAACCAGGATCCTTTGAAACATTTGAAACCATAGGCAAACGCCTTTACAAACTGAGTATCTCCGACGTCTGGAAATAGTTGTCCCTTTCCTCTCACTCCGGAATGATCCGGAATGTCTATTTCCAGATCAAGTAAAAACTGCTCTGCAGACAAAATACCACAGTGGCTTAGGCCCACGATTTGGTGAAGGATACTTTGTACGACATCTTTGTACTTTTTTTCTTGAATGCACATGTACACTTGCTAGACATACAACGTGTTCAGATGTTCAAACTGCAAGACAGCTAAGCTGCCACAAACCAAATGGTTCAAATTTCCTGCAAATGAGGCAACCTCCAATATCCAAGACTTTTTGCTGCAAACGGAAATCAACTACCAAAGGATTTTGATTGTGAGACGAATCGCGGCACCAAAGCACTGCTTCTGCATCAGCTTCGAGCATGGCCAGTTCCTCGCGCATTTTAGCTCGAAGCATGGCCAGCTCGGTGAGCAAAGGATTTCTCTGCGCTTGGTGAGAGTTGAGTGAGTTGAGTGAGTTACTCACTGAGTTGTGCAAGTTGAGTTCCTCTGCCGAATGATCCGAATGTCGTTGTGTCAAATCTGTGCTGTGATGCGCTTCCGGATCTCTTTTAGAATCTGCACTGGCTGTCGATCCAATCGATCCATCCTTGATGGCGCTGGCCCAGACTCTTGCAATTCTCAATTCGGCTTCACGCCTGTGTGCTGCCAACTGACACAAAAGCTCTTGAGCTCGGGCTCGCTGGGCGGAAGATGCAGAAGATTGCACTTGTTGAACATTGATCGCTGAGGCAACGCCTGAAGAAATTGAATGAAATTCTGTTTGAAAATCTGTTGGTGCCCCGGCGGTTTCACATTTGCCCTCACAATCTGACGTTCGCCAGTCCAGAGTGCGTTGGACGCATATTCCACTTGGGACATGTGTCTCTTGTGTTATTTGCGGGTCATGGGCCATGCGGGTCGACTCAGAGAACAGCGGCAGCCCAGGCGACCTTGGACCCGGTGACCTGAGCCTGTCAGCTCTGTCTCTGTCTCTGTCAGCTCTTTCAGCAAACGGCCATCTGGGGACACCCAACGGACGCCCAAAGCGACCGCAGGAAGTCGGATAAGTCGGGCGGCCCCCGCTTGAGGTACTTGAGCCACTTGGTTCGTGGCTTGGGCTAGGTGCACGCAGTACCAGGCCCTCGCGAGCATCGGAATCGCGGAAATGACCATCCCACAACCCACTTTCCACATACTTTGAGCGCTTTGACCCGGATGGGAACCCTATCATTTGGGCCTTTTCGGCACCAGCTGCATCTGTACAAAGACATAATGGCAACACTAGAGCCAAAGCTTTCAAGATCATCAGAGTCACAGTCTCTGCTTATTTCAGCAGCTGCATGAATCACTGGCTTTCAGAGCTTGCTTTCGGCTGAATGACTTGGCAGCAGGCACCCTTCCCTGACATGGCTGGCTTCTTGCCCTCCTGCACAGAAACGTTGTGAATTTCTGCTTCTGGGTGAAGGAAAACATTTGAAAAGAGCTTGGCAACAAACTTGTCTTGCACTGTGATGTTGTTTGCTGATTTTGCTCATAAGGCATGATGTACTATGCAAAGGAATCAAAGGTGTGTCAGCACCAAGTCGACTGGCTCTCAGCATGGCTCCAGTATTACATCTTCAGCACCGAGACCTTTGCCATCACTGTAGACGAAGAATGACCTTCAAAGAGAAAGCATGTAAAGACATGCAAAGACATGCAGGTGTTGATCAAATTACATCAAATTACATCAAATTTTTGTAAACCGTTGACATCCGTTGACCATCATGGCATCTCAATGCATCTAATACTGCAATGAAGCGATCACTGGCATTGAGACTGGCCCTCTGCAGCAATATCCAGACGCCCTATTACTCCTCCAGTGGGCACTTACCTGCCAAACCCGGCGCACACTCTTGCCCCGCTGTACAGAACACCGCTCTTCACATCCAGGACATTGACATAGATCCTTGTATTTGCTGGGCCAAGAATCATGAAAAAAACAATTTGCACACACTGTCAACATCATTGGAACGGTGATGCAGGTGCAGGCTGCTCCTCCAGTTGTTCTTAAAAGCTTCTGGATGGTCCAGTAACTCATCTGGCTGAATCCAGCCAAACCTTGGACCAACAAAGGTAACATGCTGTGGCACTCGACATCCTTGGACCATGTTGAGCATCCAAGATATCCAAGCATCATCCAGGTGCTCTACATCTCTGCGCTATGCTGACAAGCACTTTGGTCCATGGCACCCATGAATCCATGAAACAATTTGATTTGATTCTCAGATTTCTCAGGTCATCACTTTCTCTTCCATTGAAGTACCTCAAGTCTGGAAAAAAAAAACATGGCCAAACAGGATCCCAAACTGATGTACATGAGGCCCCACATGCTGCATGCTGGACATTTGCTCAAGTGGCAGGGACCCTTGGACACAGACTGAGCCAGTGTGTCGAACATTCCTCAAGCTTCATGAATTGCGGCAACAGACATTGATCCTGGTCCTAAACTCCTAAACCAACGGCTGAAAACAACTATAGGAATTGGAACCATTTGGAACCTACCGTAGATTTAATCTACCTGACAACTGTACCAAAGAATTGCTGCAAACTCAAAACAAATCGACAAATCACTATTCACATCTATTCACTATCACTGTCTGTCACGGTCGTGGACAGCGAGGTCCTCACCAGGGAAAATATCGGTGTGAGGTGCGGCCAAGTTGCGCAACTCGCTGTCTCAGCTGGTGACTAAGTAGAGGCGAAACCATTCGTATCTCAGACTTCAATGCTTTCAGAGTGCTGTCAGAGTGCTGTCAGGGTGCCTTCAGAGTGCCTTCAGAGTGCCTTCAGTGCTTTGGACTGTGTTGATGGATCTTAAAGGTCAGGATATTTGCCACGTGTCACCTCTTCGCATGTCCATGTAAAGGTTTCCAAGGGTTTCCCTGCAAGTTTACTTGTGGCACATCATGTGTACTTTTGGCCCTGGGCAATTTCTACCAGCATTTTGAGAGCTACAGCTAAGCAGTTGCAGGTACATATAGATGCATCATGTTATGTTACATCAAGTTGTATGGTTTTAAAACTCGAAGGGCCACAAGAGCTAACGTGTCTGTGCACATAACATGTGTCTCCTGAAGACCATTTCTTTGCTAATTTTCCAAAGCATGACATGACAGTTGCACCGATGCTCAAACCTCTAGATTTTCAGAGCTGTGTCATGTTGACACATTGAGCTGGTGGACCAAAAAGTCCTATGTACACAGTAAACACACAGTAACTAGGGCTAAACGGCTAAACCATTCCTGATGTCATGGCATACTAGCAAAAGGCTAGCCTGCACCGACCAATCATTTGCTCTCAATCCTTCACTGCCTGCAACCGCTGAACCTGAGGGATCGGCATCTTTTTGGTCAATCATGTGTGCAGTGTAGTGCAGTGTAGTGCAGTGGAGTGCAATGTACACTTGCGAACACAGGCATAGCCGGCATAGCTGCTTGTCACTCCTAAACTCAAGTGCGGAACCCGTGTCATGTTGGCAAGGAGGACCTGCTTTGGCACCTCCTGAGGACTGTCCAAGCCAAGAATGACGTTCAATGACGTTCAAAGAAGTTCAATAATTGAATAATGCAGAGGATTCCTCGGATTGCAGGGTGTCCTGATGTTCACCGAAAATGTGGACTTTTGGAGCTGAACACGTGCCTTCTTGGACAGGACCTTCTGCAAAGACTTGCAAGCCTCCGCCTGGTCTTGACCTATGAACCACACTCAAGGCTACACACACACACACAAGCACACAGTGTCTGGCGGCCCGCTGGATAAGTTGCTAGGCATCTAACGCTCACGACGCTTCAGCCGAAGCTTCAGCTTTGCCTCTCAGTGTGGACTGGAAACATTTGAGAAACCAAATTTTGAAGTTGTACAGCACCAAAGCATACTAAAGCTTTCCGACTAAACACATAAAGTGTCAGTTGGAAACAAGCATGGCAGACACTGCTTGGCCCTCTTGCCCTTCAGGCCTGTTCAATTAGTGTGGAAGCAACGCCACATTGCTTCGCCTGACCAGCATTTTTTGCGAAAAAAATATACATTAGAAATACATTAGGCATGTCACTGTCCAGCGATTGTAGGTGCAGCACACATATCCAGCCTCTTGGATTGCACTTCGAGCACTGCGCAGCCAATTCTTTGAGCCCTGGCCACAGAACTCAAGATGTTGATAGCAAATGTACTGCCCGTACTTCCTATGAATAATAATAGTTATGGAAGCTCTGTCTTCTGTTGACGCCTCATCTACATCTTCAGACTGTCCGGCCCCGTTGCTCCTGGGTGTGTTGGGCCTTGCTGGCTGTTCCAGTCGTGAAGTTCGTGAAGCAACATTGGAATTCCATGATTTGTCCGGTGCAAAGCATTCTGCCAGCACCATGTGCCGCCGTGTCGCCCATGCTAGCAGCTGCTAGCATCACTGAGCTGTCTACAACGCTGGAAGACCTTCTTCAGCATTGATCCGCTCTTGCAACGTGGCTGCAGCAGCCTGGAGTCTCATAGTGTCGCAGAGTATCCAAGTAACGACAAGTACGCCGCATTCAATCTCGATGCTGTGACGTATAAAAAAGCAGTCGACAGCGTTAAACAGCCTGTCGTCGTGCTTCCGCTTCTGTAAGATTTCGGAGTACAGAGCTAGCTTGCTCCATGAGGCCAGAAGACCTCAGAATGCCGCCGAAGCTCAGGCAAAGTCGAAAATGTTCGCATCAGAGAAATCCTGAGGATAAGACTCCCGATCACCTGAATGACACTGTGAGCAGACACAAGTTATCGTGTGTCAGTGCAAGAATATTGCAGCACAGCCTCTTGCAACAGACCTTGAGCCGCTGGGACCTAAAGGTTGCGACATGAATGATGCACAAAGATCAAAGCAGTGCGGATGCCAATTTCGGTGGCATCTGTGAAGCTGATATCATTCAAAAATAATCAAGAATCAAGTACAAGACAAAACCACAGCTATACAATGCTGGAGGATGCTGTAAGACGCAGCAAGACGATGTAAGACGCTATAAGACGCTGTAAGGCGCTGCAAGTACGCAGCTGCGGCTGCTATACTGCTTTATCTAAGGATGACGTTCTTCTTTTTCCACTGGACTCACGAGAACCTGATGCTTTTTTCTCCTCTCGAGACGTCTCAAGTGTATTTTTTTCCACGGATACAAATTGAAGAAGATAAACTTGGTCGATTACATACTAATTATTCACATATATATTTGCATCATTTTGCATCTTTGTTCTGGCTCGAGAGTCAATGCCGGTCCAAGCTTTTGGGTCCACATTGAATACTCGCCTAGGTCTAGAGGCTCTAAACTATGCTTGCTTTCTTCAGGTTGCTCGCTTTGGGGTGTTGAAATCGCCCAAGAATGCTTAAGAAATATCAGAGGAGCTTTTAGGAACGCACCAGGTCAACATGTCAAGAGCATGGGCTCTCCAGCCACATAATTGAAAATAGTTAAAACGCATGACGCGATGCAGGTGGTCGTTGCACTGTGCCTAGATCCCACGTGCGCCGAGTCTGGCGGTAAACAGCGTGCCTTGAATCCTCCACCTCAGTCCCTCAACCCTTCCGCAACGGTTCCGCAATGGTTCTGCAACGGTTCCGCAATCTCCAAAACTGGAGCTGAAGCTCTACACGATACTGCCCCGAACCCAACAAAAACCTGACAGCATGATGCTATACGACGCTCTTGTTGACATTTGTTGACAGCTATATAGGCTGTAATACAGCCGCTGTATGTGTGATCTATGAAGTGCTGAAAGATCTATGCTGCAAAGTGGCGGTCTGTCAGACCAACTTGCCCAAGCGCCCTGACCTGAAAATCTCAAGTGCTTGGTCTTTGTCGGTCTTTGTCGGTCTTCGTTTGGCTCAAAGCCTTTCTCATCTCTTTCAGTTCTGCGTTTCAGGAGATGGCCTGTCGCATAGATCGCTCAATCTCCGCATGGTCTCTTGCATTCAATGCCAACCTTAGAGGACGCAGGCTGGAAGCTACGTCGAAATTGGGTTCGAAACACTAGTCACTAGATGGTGTAATACCAAGAATACCAAGAATAAGCATGAATAAGCTAAATAAATGCGCGGTTCCCTGGATCTGAAATTCTGAGCTATACTCAACTATCCCCAGCTACCTGGCACTGAGATATGGCAGCTGTGAATGGTTGTTATGTAGCCATGTTGGTTAAGATTAGCAGAGGCTAGCCGTTTTGGCTGAGAATGTGGCTGTAGCCTGTGCTCCGCCACACTTCTCTGACAGGCCTCCGGCAACTCGGACTGCTCTTGGACTGCTCTTGGCAAAAGATGCACACCAATTGCATAATGTTGGGTTCACGAAGGAAAGACCATTGCAAATGCGAGGAAGGTTTCAATAGTTGAAGCCAGAAATTAAAAGCAAAACTGCAAAATACTGCAAATACTGCAAATTTGTTTGTACATGCCAGGCATTCAAGATGGATCTGAAGACTTCATCTGCCTCTCTTCTGGCATTTTGCAACAAAAGCCTTCAGCAAAAGCTGTGTTCAACCGCAAAGCTTCAGAACATTTCAGAGCCACTGAGCAGTGAGCAAGGCTTTCCAAAAAAAAAGTCTTGCAAAATATCAGAACTAGTCAGGATGATTCCAGGATGATTCGGACACCAGGCAATGTAGGCACCATGCTTTCCTTTCTGGATGCTGTCGTGCTGGAGCCCGGCACCTGTACGGCAGATCGATCACGGAAACACATCCCATCACTCGAATCCCCACCACGTGGTGCCACCACTTGTCATCGTGGGATTTATATAGATCTATATATATATATAGATCTACATAGATCTATCTAGATCTATTGACTCCATACACATCGAAAGTAAACCAATCAGCGCCCAACTTTCGGCTTTGCTCAAGATCTCCTTGAGCGGGACCTGAGCCAAAAGCTCCAAGATATGCATTGCAGCATTGCACCTGGTTTGAAGCAACGTAAAGCAACTGCGTACGAGAACGGTGGGAAAGTCTAGATACTACATTGTCTGGCGTCACGCATTGCTCCTGAAAACTGAGGGAGGCGCCAATAGATCGTGGGTGGACTTGCCACTTGCTCGGCATTCCTTCCGGTGCGCAATGTCAGCTGCATCTCAACACTCTGTGCTACACATAGCAGCCTGAATTTGGTTCGACATTGTGAAATGTTATCAAGTCATGTTGAAGTCATGTTGAGTCATTTGAGTCTTTCGCCTCAATTCTCTTCAGCTGAGCGATGAGCTGCGACCGCACCTCAGAGATTCACCAAATGATCCGCCAAATGCCACTGCAAAAGTTGCAAACCCAATGGCTGACACTGCACACTTGCTCACAATGCCTCATTTGAGATCATATTGAGATCATAAGAGGCCAAGACTTCTCTTCGGCGGGCGTTGTCCTTTTCCCTCTTGTCCAGTATCTCCTGTGAGTCTGACTCAGGGTCTACGAAGGTCTCAAGGACTATTTGTCTGGCAGGTGACTTGATGCAGAATTGGGTATATTAGCGCGATTAAGGGTATTCTGCGATACAGGACTACCCAGCACGATGCAAAAGGTTTGACGTCTTTCAATGATGCTGAGTTGTTAAATGGTTTGCAGTTGAGTCATGTACTTGCCGCTATTTAATACTGCATGAAAAATGCCCAACCCAGCTGACAAGCGACTTGGCGGACGTCTAACCCGCCACTGGCCTTGCCCTGTGCAATTAACCGCTCCAACTTCGATGTCCATGGCTTCAGCGCGCCGGCGGCCTGGAGGACAGCTTCTGAAATAAACCATTGCCTGAAACAAACTCCTTTCATAGTCAAAACAAAAGGACTCATCAAGCAGTGACTCAAGCAGTGACTCAAGCAGCTAAACATCGCCGAATCGAAACAAGTTTGACCATAGCCGCCAGCCTCTAGGAGCTGTTGGTATCGCCACGGATGCTTTTGAAGGACCTATGGCAGAGCTTTAAGCTTTAAAAGCTTTTAAAAGAAACAGTCTTTGAGAACTTCCATGAGTGTCGTTTGGCAAATGAGGTGAAGTACGGTGAAAGGATGCAAGAAAGCACTGAGAACTCAAAAGGATCGACGGCAACAAATTGTATATCATACGGTCAAACCCCTTGTCCTGCACTGCATCTTGCAGCAAACTGATAAGGCAAGTTCACAAAGTGGTCACCAAGTGGTCACAAACTGTTCACAAGCTTCAAGTTCAAATGAGGCTGTAACGGGAAGTGCTCTTTGCACCTCCCCGGCCAGCACCTCACAGCCTGTCACCAATAGCTGCAATAGCTGCAACAAGCCCAAGTTGTGGAGATCTCATTCTACAGTCCAGGTGATCAGCTGCATCACCAAATATAAAATGCTATAAAATCATATAGAATATACAATGACATAAAGCTCAGAATTGACATGTACGGCAATGTGTGGCTCTCAGCATCCAGCGTTGCTCATGCTCCCGAAGTTCTGCTAGCTTCTGGCTTGCTGCCCGAAGTTTCCTCAAGCTGCACACATGGGCATCAAAAAAAGGAGGACTGCTGGGCATCAAAAAAGGAGGACTGCCAACTTCAAGCGTCTCTTTTCTGCAGAACACGTTTCCTTCAGAGCCATGAACGACTGAGTGCAGCTCTCAGCAGAAACTCCAGCGCTCTTTGCTGCGCGAACAGCGGTCTCTAGGCGCAAGCGACCCTGATTCAGACTGAAGGTGCAAAATTGACACAGTCGGTGCGATCAAAGCTCCAGCGGGGAAATGCATAATTAAACATCAATGGTCAATGCACCTGAACACCGACTCCTCTCGAGGCTTCCTGAAGTTCAGCTTGCGTAGATTCTCGATTCACCTACGAGTACAACAGATTGTGAAAGTGAGGCAAAGTGAGGTGTCTGTATGGGGTGCTTTGGGACTGTTCAGATGACTCTTCAAAATCTCCAGTCTGAACAATCCGGAGTCAGCCCGCCTGCAACTCCTTGAGCCGCAGAACTTGCCGCTCGGCCGTGTGTATGTTGAGGCCAAGCCTGCAAAGAGTCCGACCCGTCCAAAATATCTATGTCCTGTGCCAGCCCTTAAACATTTCCAGGAAGTTTGATGCATCAATTCTCCTTAGGTTCTCCTTTCAACTTGTGAAGTTTCCCCTGGAACTGAATTTGTCTGACCTCTTGCATTCCTCTACCGCTGCTTGGAGTCTCTCCAAGTCAGCCTCTGTTTGGCATCGCCTTCCAAATGGTCAGAACATGTCAAACTGTTTGCAAACATGTCAAAACTGTTTGCATACTTCGCTTATCTTTTTGCTTACTTCTTCGATTCTTCGATGCTTTGTGCTGCATTGAAGAGCTCAAAAAGATGCGGCCAAAGACCTCGACAATGCTGATTGTAATTCATCCGCGGCGGCTCGGCGAAGCTGCAATACCTTTTGCAGGTTCAACACGGTTCAACTGCATCTCTTGAAAGCAAAAAAGAGCAAAATGAAGAATACAAAATATTGCGCAAACAGTCTGCAAAATCTTCAAGATGTGCAAATCATTCCAAGCACTAGGGACCAAACCTCCACACTCCTCACAACATTCGTGCTGGGCAAGCAATCCAGCCCCAATAGAACAAATGTGTTTCATTCGAATGAAACAACCAAGGATGCCCAACGGTCGATCATGCAGTGCCTTTAGCTTGCCATCTTTTGATTTAAGACTTGGATATGGCCCACTTGCAAAGCTTCAACAATGACTTGCAAACGACTACAAGAACCACTGCAAGATACTCAATTCTAGCGCCTCAGAAACGGGCCACAGACATGACTCGGCAATGACTCGGCGACGTTTTTGCCGGTCCTCTCATGCAGTTCGTCTGCCTCTTCGAGCAGGTCCTGAGAACTGAAATTTCTTCGAAGCACCGTCCAAACCCAGGAATCGCAGTATGTCGTTGGGAACATATGGGAATCTGGGTTGCTTTTGATTTTGAGACTCCCTGCTCTTTTCTGGGGCTATTTGATTTGCTTGATTGATTCATGATGATTCATGATGATTCATGAATATGTTGATTTCAGATCTGTGTGATTGTCTCGTGATTGTTTGGATTGCTCCTGGACTACTCATGCAGACTTGATGAGTGAATAAGGTCCATGGGTTGGCTTCATCTGCCAGCTGTCATCTGTCCTCGTCTGCTCCAAAGCGCTGACCATCTGCCAAGAGTCGAGCTAAGTGATGCACCTGCCAAGCTGAAAGACTTGCAAGCTGTGTTGATTGTGTTGACTGTGTTGTCAGTGTTGACTGCGTTGATATTTGTTCCACATAATTGGCTCCGTGTCAATACTTTGCAGTAAAAGAAAACGATATACAGAAAGGCTGTAACTGAGCCTGGACAATGTCCTTGAGAACATTATCGGCCACTGCACCAATGCCTCGTTCATCTCATGTAGACTGTAGACCAAATCCAGACCCGGCAGAACTTAAGAAGTCAATAATTCCACAAAGTACGTTCAGACATATTAAGACATAATTACATCAGGTACAGTGAGATTAAGACCAATTGAGCAGCAGAAATCTGACGCAAGCCAAATAGGCTCACTCGTGCTCAGCATCACGCTAACCTCCTCGACTTGCAACATGAGTTTCTGCAGCCCTTCTTCAACCTTGTGAGAGTCCAAAACGTGAATTCTACATATTTCTACAACGGGTCCCTAGCTGAAGATCGGCTCACGGAAAAATCTTAAGCTCTCGCCTTCAAACGAGGTCTGTGGATATTCTCCAAGTTCACAAGCCGCCGCTCAAAAGCGGTAATATCATCAAACGGCACCTCGCGAAGCGTTCAGCTCGCAGTCTAGTGGTATTGAAATACTGTGAAATAAATTTCAATGACATGGATAAATTGACATGGATTCTATCAAACTTCTGAGCACCCGGGTTTGCTTCGCTTCAGCCAGAGCCTTCACAGGGCTTTGGTTCATTGCTCTGAGAGTTGGGAAGGTTGACAAGGATTTACATAGCTTGTACGTCGTGGATCATGTGAAGGAACCGCTGATTTCCCATATGGGCCTTCTGAGCTGCATCAAGAATCCTGCTATCTGGATGCTGCTCAGCCTCAAAGGCAGATGCCGTCACCGTTCAAGTACAGGCACCCCGAAAATCCAACGACAAAGAAAACTACAAGGCGATCAACCTCTGCAGGTGCGGCAATCATTGGAAGTAGTATGTCACATTTGGACGCATTGGCCCCAAGACATGTGTGTATATATATATACCGATATATATATATATAATTACTGTGTATATAATATATATATATATATATATATTGTATATGTATATATATATTGTATAATTCAATGTCTGCTATGTTTGGGGTCCAAAATTTTGAACCGTCTGCAACCACCGAACTGTCATGTGCTGCATGCAAACTACACATTGTCTGACGCGTATGCGCTGGGTTGCTCAGAAACGATACTGTCTGAATTTTGAAGATTTGAGGAACATTCTGTGAAATGAGATAGAGAAACTGAGTCTACCTGGAAGAAGTGAGGGGCATCAAGGCATTCCACACTTCTGGGATGCTAGGTGGGACTTGGAAACAACAATTGAGAAGTGGTCAGGTCACGGACGTGTTCAGAAATCAAGAAAGATTCACCTTTTGTTGGAATACGTACATTTTGGTCTGAAGGAGTGAATATCGCAGTATGCAAGACTTCATAAATGGCTTGGAGTTGAAAACTAAAAAGTCACAACCAAGCTCGCCGCCGAACAAGAAACAGTAACAGTGTGAACAAGTCTTTTGCTGATGGCAACTGGAGGAAGTTCCAACCTGGGACAGCGGCTTTCTCTATTGCTCTTCGAAGAAGTTTGCTCCTCAGAGTTCGATATACTGCAAATCACTGGATAATCGACGTTGAAATTCTAATCGAATGTTCACTGTGATAGATGCAACCTCTCAGGATTCGGCTGGCGCGCTTGACTTGCAGCAAGCTTCTCAGACACATCCGCATAGCTCTTTTCGCTCTTCTCTGTGCGAACAGTTGATGTGCTGGCGAAGGCTTTGTTCAGGCTATCTCCTGCCTCAAGTAGCGCACGGTCAATGCAATGCATATCTTGTGAGCTTCCGATCGAAACTCCAACTCCACATCTAGGGACCTCTAGCTCGTCCACCAAAGCTAGGACGGACGGAGGGACTGCGAGGTCGAGCGATGACGCCTGAAAAGTATGACTGCAAATCTGTTGTGTACTAGAAAACATTGGTTTTATCATGCTTTATTAATCTTTATTATGTTTTATCTGGCTCTTTCTCGCTTTATCTCTGCAGTCCTGAGTCATCAATCTCCGCAGCTGGGCTGCATCTTGATTTTCACCCGCAGCTGCCAACTCTTGCAGCAACCTGAGGCATGTCACATCATGACTCAGACTCATCGCCATAAGAAACTTTGTTTTCATTATAAAAAAAAATGACCTTTTGCTCTGCTAGCCCAAATTCACAAGCCAGGGCGCCATGATTGTCGCTGTTCCTTTTCTGCTTGCCTCAAACAGCAACAGGCTTTATAGAATTTTCAGAAATAAATAGAGTTTACATACAGTTTACCTGAGTCCAAAGTACCACTCTTTAAACAACGTTCGCTTCTTCTAGCACTTGCGGTTCGCGCCTGACCACATGGTCTGCCACATTTCCAAGCACGCGTCGCACTTCTGATCCACAAACTATAAGCTCCTTCAATTCATGAGAGACAAAGAGATCATCGGCGGCTTTCCACAGCAGGCTACAATGACCTGCAACTATACTTGTTTTAACGAACATGGGTGCAAAATGCAAACTCAGAGTGCTTCACAGCATGTCCTTCTGCTCCAAGATCTCTTTCAGCCTCACATGAGAGCACCCAATGTCAGGATATTTCCCATGCTGAGACTTCACTCCGCTTTAAGCTTGGAGCTGACTCGCGTCGCTTATTGACATCAAACCTGTCACAGTCGACTGCACGCGCAGTCAAATTACACTCTGTCCTCGATGTCCGTTTCTTCAAAGCCAACATAAGACAGGAGATTGCAACATTATTCTTCTTTGCTCTGTGCCCCGCCTTCAAGCTTCTTGGCTGCGTCTCTTTCAGCCTTGCCATAAGTCCACATTCGCTGCCACGCGAAAAAAAAGAAGCGCAAAGCAGCATCTTAGCATGGATTTCGTAGCAGGAAGTGTCTGGTGTAGAATCGTGACCTTCCACCTCAACTAACGACGTTCTACAGTTCAAAGCCCCAGCCGCCTTTCTTTGCTCCTTCACACCTGTCGCCAAGGAATTGGAGTCCCTTTCATGTTTTTTAAGCTCAGGGATTCGCTTCCCATCTTGGACTTTGAAGAAAAAAACTATAATACATATATATATATAATACATTCTATATTATATATAATATATTATATATAATATATTACTATATAATATATAATATATAATACATAATATATAATATATAATATATAATATATAATATATAATATATAATAATATTTACATATAATATATAATATATAATACATAATATATAATATATAATATATTTATATATTTATATATAATATATAATATATAATATATAATATATTAATATATTTAAATATGTATATATAATATATAATATATATAATATATATAATATATATAATATATATAATATATAATATATAATATATATAATATAGATAATATATTATATATAATATATTATATATAATATATAATATATAATATATTATATATAATATATAATATATATACAATATACAATATATAATATATAATATGTTATATATAATATATAATATATAATATATAATATATAATAATTATATAATATATGATATATGATATATGATATATAATATATAATATATAATATATAATATATAGTATATAGTATATAATATATAATATATAATATATAATATATAATATATAATATATATTATATATATAATGTATATGTATAAGATTTATGTAAGTATCCGCTTATTGTGTCTGTGTGCACTATGTATAGACTGTACATGTAAGCACGCAGTGACAGTATAAAGTGAACATGTTGCAATGCACAGTCATAAATGGCAATAGGAGCACAACGAATTGACGTATAGCGAAGCTTCTGCGACGAGTCAACTTCTCAGTTGCAAACTCTCCACCAGTGCTTTCGCATCTTCTGTTGCAGCAGGCTGCACACCAGCGAGCTCAGCCTACTGCGCACTGCTAGGCCCTAATAGGCCCTGCTAGGCACCCTACGAAAGGCTTTCTGGCAGCAGTTCAATGCAAAGAGAGCCACGAGCCTCTGAAATCGCTCGCGAGAGCTGCTTCAGGCAGGTGTCCTGATCAAAACTGACGTGTACCGTGCATGTGAAAGTATGTGAAATATAATGTGAAATATACTTAGGATATCTTAGGATTGCTCAGGTGTCAGTGTGGTTCAGTGATTAGTTCGGTGTCTCCCCAAACGAGGGCATCTCCGCCTGCCGTTGACGAAAGCTCGCCTCCTGCAATGAAGCCTGAACAAATCGAAAGCTTGGAATATCTTGGAACACGTTTGGAACAGTCAAAACTCAAACCACGCCGCACAGCAAAAGAATGGCAAAACTTAATAAAGGCATGGCAGGAGATGTAGTGACAATGTATTAAAGACCCACACAATACCTATACAAATACAGTGGACTCTTGAGGTCGGCATCAGTTTGCGTAATGTCTTTGGATCAAACACCTGTAATTGTATGTCGACTGTATGTACTGTAATTATTGTGTTTGTCCTGGTCCACTACTCCACTTGCCAAAATGTCCTCTTCAAAACTCTAGATTCTATATGTGGCGATGCATGCGTCTATCACTGACGCACAGCTAGAGTTATTTCCACTTCAAAACCGATCTAAGGAAGAATAATATGTCTTTCGCCATCCTGTCCCCTTCCAACAGGATTTCTTGCCTCCGACTTGGATCAGAATTGTTCTATGTAAGCCAATCTGATGCTAAACATCTGCTAATTTCCTTGAATTGAATCAGTGACAGCGGTCAGAATCAAATCATACCATGAGACTTGTCCAAGTTGACACAGCTAGGAGAGGCAAACTTTCCCAAGAGGCATAAATAGTCATAAATGCTGATTGCGGTGTCAGAGGGACAAAAGACCATGTCTTATCGCATCAGTGTATTATGCATGTGTATACATGTACATGTATACATATTCAGTGCATACAAATATACAAATACAAACCATGTGTTTATGTGACTTCCATAATGTGTACATATGTACACATTGCGAATTCCTTGGCTTCTGTGTTTTTAAGGATGATGAGTGATGATGAGTGAAGCAACCATGTCGTTCCGTGATTCGAAGCACTTATGATGTATATATATATATGTATATATATATATGATTATATAATATCATATATATATATTGTCATATATATATATACACAGATATGTATGTATATATGTATTATATATATATAGACACCAGTGTTTCTCTGGCCAACCTCGGTTGAACTCGTAGTGGAAGTTGATTGCCTAGCTCACCAACACTCTGCCAGAGTGGTTTGGAAACGATGCAGGTAATGCAGGTAAACCGTTTCTAAACCGTTGAAAGCGTTTAAACATGTTTAAACCAGTCAACGGTCAGCAAAGGTCTAGTCACTCTAGTCAAGTCCATGCCAAGTCAAACGATGCATCTCCACTTCTCAGCTGCCCACCGGCTCAGTTGTCCCAAGCTTCCGTCCAAGCAGGTACGCAGCTGGAAGGTGAGCTCAGAAAGCTGCCGGCTCAACCGGGCAACTTCGGCTTCAGCACCTCATTTTTCACATGAATCACATGAAAATCATGTGAAAATTACACCAAAATCCCTCCAACCCTGCCAGGCCAACCAATTATTACGGCAATTCACATCATCCAAAAGATTCAAAAAGAGTGTTGCTTGGTGCCCGGTTGCGGTTAGACCACAAACTCTGCAGTAGAATTTCTTGGGGAGCATGTTCTCAAGAGCTTGTGCGAAAGATTCAACAGGGCCCAAACCAATAGAAATCAATCATGGACTTGTCTCGATGCCTCCCAATTAATGTGGTCTATATGGTCCATATGGTCCATACAGGCATTCGCGGATATTCTCAGGGAATTGTTCATGAACCATAGCCTTGAGCGTCACTGAGATGCTGGCTCTGAGCTCTGCGGTCGGGCTGTCTCCATTTGGCTAGCAAGCGCCGCCCACTGACCTTCGCTCATAAATCACAGAGATCACAGAAACACATGAAAAGAGAAGCTGTTGAAATTCTTGACAGGATGAGGACGGGACAAGGCGTTACTTTGTCCCTTTGTCTCAACTTTGTCTCAAAGCATCTTAGAGAAACTCTTAGAGCCACACCCTCAACTCCGCATGAATTCCCATCTTCTGAGCACCCTCGATTGCTTGTTCAAGCCTCAAGGTCCATCTGCGCTCATGTTTCAAATTGGATTCAAGGATGCAATTTCAACACCGTACAAATATGTACAAATAATACAGTGGTTCCAAATGACAGCCAGCACCAAACATGACAAGCTTAGAGCAGGGCTTCGTAAGGTGTTCCTCACTACCATCTTCTGCAGCCTGTCATGCGCGGTATGGTGGAAGGTGCTGCAAAGTGCCGCAAGGTGCTGCAAGATATGTGAAGCGCGTGGAGTCTGGGTTGAGCGAAAGCTTCTCCGCCAACGGCTCTGAATCCTCTCATGGAGCCTGGATGGCGGAGAGAAGGACAGTGGAGACCTGACATCCGGAGTGGCAAAGTTGTAGTGCAGCAGTGCTAGCAGTGGGCTGAGAGATGCTAAGAGTATCTGACTAGGGCCCTAGGGACTGCACGAGTTCCCTTCGGGAATCCTGCGTCACTTCTGCGTTGTCTGCCTCCACAACACTCTGTCAGGATAAAAACATCATGCTGTGAGGGACAGCCACCTGGCCGACCTAGCCTGTCCTAGTCTTGACATCACTTTGTGAAATCAGAGAATCACAGAATTGCCCCTGTCCTCATCCTCTATCCGCCTCAGCGCTGCCTTCAAACAATTCAGAGACTGCAAGTTGTCGTAGCACTATTCGGCATAAATCACATGCCTCTGCACGGATTAATAAATCTGCTGGTTGATTGACAGCATCCTCGATTTCTCCTGCAAAGCAAGGCATGAACGAGTTTGGGTCTAAGCATAAAAATGGCCAACACAGTGAAAAACCGATGAAAAAAGGGAACCAACTCCTTGCCTTCTTTGGCCATTGAGGAACTTTGCCATCCGGTGCATCAGCGAAGCATGCTGAAGGTCCAACTATACAGCACGTTCCAAACAATTCTGGGTCGTGTCCATACGCTCACTGCTTGCTTCCCACTAGATTGAAGCAATTGAAGCATTTCCCACAAGCGAATCTGGCAGAATCAAGGGTGATCAAGTATAGAAAAATTGTCAAGGGGAAGAGTCTTTGCTTGCTGAAAATCTATCTCTCCGTTTCCTGCCATCTTTCTTTCTGGCTGAAAAGCATCTGAAAATGCTCCACATAACATATATATATATACATATATACAATTATTGTAGCTATTTATATATAATTATATATAGAATATATCGTTTTAAAGTTTAAAGTGTATCATTTTCGCAAATCCATGTAAATCCAAGGAGTTCAAGCCGGCAACGAATGTGATGAATAAAGGCCAGTGTGCTTTTTTGTGGCAACTTTTGTCCAGCTAATAGAAGTGCTCCCAACGGCCCTCACTGTCCCTTCAATGGAGGAGACCTCATTCTGAGGCAGTATCTCCAGCTAATCTTCAACCCTTGTCACCTCTGTTGACCAATTCTAGGCTCCGTGCACCAGTATGACAGAGTCTCCTCGCACCTGAAACTTCAATATGTTGAAATCTGTGCATCAATGTTTATGGGTCTTACGGTGCTCGTTCGCGAACCGTGCTTCGAAATCCATGGTCTCAGGATGTCTCAGGCGCGTGCAAAAATCATTTCGATGCCCCTTCTCTGCGGCTTCATTTCGCCTTCTTCCTGCATCACAACCAGCGAATTTTGAAGTGGCCACGGTTGGCCAAGCCCTCCCGGCAAATGCTATGCTGACTATGCTCTGCTTAGCCACTGGGCTGTGCTTCTCAAATGGTTGCATTGCTGGCGACCTTGAAAAAAATGCAAAAGCGATAGCAATATCGATGGGCGTGTCATCTCGATGTCCTTTCCGGGCACCTCCTCTCTTACATAAGAAATTTCCTCCGCAAGAACAGTGCCCAAATTGCAGTTGCAATTCTGTCTGTCATGGATTGCCATATGCTTGATTCAAAGCAATCTGCCTCCACCTCACTAAGAACCATGTTCAGGTGCTGATCGTATGCATGCAGCCTGAAGCTCACGGGCAGAACACGTATCATTTAGAAGTCTCAAACATATACGGTACCAAACATGTGATGCACACGTATGATTCACACAAGTGACATCAAGTGACATAATTGTCAGCCAAATGTTGCGCCTGCCCCGAATCTCCCGATCTCCACGGCACTTCACGAAGATTCTTTCGTCCAGATTCTGCCTAGAGGGAATGTTCGAACGAATCGTACAGTAGGTCAACAAGCTGAAACATTCAGAGAATTCTACAGCTCGTTTCATTGACTACATCGCTTCTGAAAGTCTCAAAGCGTCTTATCTTCGCTCTGAAGGCTGCGACCGTATCATGTCTAGTGGCTCCTCGATCGACAGACCCTGTGCAGCTTGACAACTTGACTGAGTGGCTCTTGGAGTTCGCCCGGCAAAAACATACACAACAGCAATGACAAAATTGACGAAATTGACGAAAAGTCAACGGCAAAATGACTTAGACTGAGGGAGATAAGCAAGATAGACCGCGAACTAAGATAAGTTCATGGAAGACTTGAGTCACTTCCACCGTTGGCCTCTGCCATCCTGAAGTCACACTGTGAAGTCACACCTGAGCTTTGCAAGAGTTTTGTCAAAGCATTTTTTGTCCATGTGTTTATATACATATTTACATGGGTTTAACTGGCTTTATATACACATGTTTAAAAGCTGCGTCATGTTCTTGGAGATTGACACTCGTGGAGCTTGAACTCCAAATGACTCACTCAGCTGGACCGCTGGATTTTGTCCAGCTTTTCTGGGCCCTTGAGCCACTACAGCTACGGTGCCATGGAATACCATGGAATACCATGGAATGCTGTAGAACGGGTTCAACTACTTTGAGTTTCCCAAACAAGTTAAGCGGCCTCTTTGTTCTCATTCAGGTATGGCTGGGTGGAAAGACTTTGAAAGTGACACGATGCAAACATTTTTTAGCATTTTGATCAAATTTTGATCCTCAAGAGCGGCTCAAACCAATGCCAATAGGCTGCCAATAATGTACATTGAACACCCATTTCTGGGCTCCGGCAGAGTGATCCATGGAAGATTCCTCCGCCAATTTAAGTGCCGGAATACAGGATTTGCACTTCGTGCACCTGACTTCTTTGATTGCATCTTTGATTGCATGTCTGCAAGTGTTTAATGCCTCGCTCCAGTCTTGAAAGCATCCTGTCGGAAGTGAGGAAGTGACTGCAGCCCAATCTCTGCACTGTTGCAACTGTTTCAACAATTCTGCCCCACACGCCTGATGATTTCCATAGAGTCCCAGCCTTCAAAGTGTATACTGAACAAGAAGCCATTGAAAAAGTAATGTAGGACCTTTTGCGAAGTCAAAGACTCTTGGAAACCAGCCTGTTGGTAATCGCTTCGCTATTCCTCTTCTGCTTGCGTCCAGGAGAACTCCCACCACCCTGAGGCGATGGAAGATTTGAAACTCGCAAGTCCACCAGTCCCTTGTGGGAATAGTGGGAATAGTGGGAATAGAGGGAATAATAAACCATAAACATCCATACACCACAAAAATGGGATACAGCAATTGGGAATGCCCACAACAAACCCCGAATGTGGCCTGCCGGAAGGCATCTTCAAGGGACATGGGAGCATCGTTCAGCACAAACCAGCTGTGCCTTGGCCAAGCACAGGAAACTACAATAATTCATCCAGAATCTCGTCAGTAATCATTAGGATTCACATGGGTTCACAAGATCACTTCAATTCGCACCTTGGCCCTTCCTCATCAAGGCGAACAATTCGGAGACCCGAATGTTGCGAATCAGCAAGTAGAGGTGGATCTCCCACACACCTGTGTTTCAGTTGTTCTTTTGTGAAAACACATCAATTTCATTCAATTTCAAGCTATCACACAAATGGGCAGTGTCGAAACCATGGTAAAAAATGCTCTATACTGGATAGCTGCTGAGCTACTAGTGATCATCCCATCGTGATCTAAAGATAAACGAATGGGAATTGCAATACAGTGCAATACAGTGCAATCTTGCAACACAGTGCTCAAGTGACCTCTTTTGTGCAAACGACAGGAACAACTAAAGCTTGCTCTGTTGGCCCTGTGCATCTGGCTTTTCGAAGTCAGGTCTAATGGAAGTCGCTACTACCTTAGCGACTCAGCGACAGTGTGGTTGCTATGAATAATTTTGAATAAATAATTCGGAATAATCATGCAACGTTGTTGCAATGAAGACTTGCGATTCATGGCAAGCGAGAGCATGCACATAATTTCTATATGAGATTTGTATGACAGACTGTGCACTTTGATGAGCTTCGGAGATCATTGTTGTCCCACTGAGATCTCGACGCCTGGGTTTGCAGTCCAGTTGATGTTACTGCCGACACCGGCGCAGGTGACTACCTTGTACTAGCACAGGTGACGCAAGCAACTACGCTGACATACGCTGACTACTCTCGGTGTTTCCGGCCTCAAGATCTTCATCCACAGCAACAGCATTGCCATGATAATGACCACAAAGCCAAATCCTGCCGTCTTGAATCGTCTTGAGTCGTTCCAGCGTTCCAGGAAGTGAAAACTTTAAATCAACTGCAGTCTAAGCCGTCTGAGAGTCTGAACGTCATTGCTCTGAGGTGGATTGGCTGGCCATGCTAATGCTGGGACATGCTGGCCTTACTCCAGCATTCTTGGCCAGCTTGACAATCCGCTCTCGAGGTTCGATTTCCCAATTGGCCCAGCCTTGCCTCAGCTTGCGCAAACACCAAGATGTGCCAAGATGTGCCCAGCATGTCTTACCCAGTCTAGTCTGGTGTTGGACCTGACTTCTGAGCCGTGCGAGTTCGATGCAATGACACAAGACAAGAGTCACGTCAACTGCACAAAGCTGCTTCGCTTACTATGCTTGGAGCCTTTCTCATGCTGCTTCAATCGGGTCAGTCGGATCAGTCGGGTCTGTTCTGAGTGATGGCACGTCTCAGTGGGCTCCGCAATAAATGGAGGAACGTGGCTCAACACGACTGCATGCTTTGGCTGCCTTTGTGCACTTTGCCAAGCCACACGCACTGCAACTGCATGCAACATGTCAAACATGATCGCTTTTCAGTGTGTTTCATGTAACATTTTCGCCCGCGACAAGGCTTTCTGAAGACGTCAAGATTTGCTATTCATAGTTTATAATTATATATATATATCATTATAGATATAGATATTGGTATGTCTTTGTGAATGCGTTCAGCATTGGGTCCACATGTCATCAACGCCGTGCCTCTTTTTGAGAGCTTCAAACTGAGCCTCAATCCACGCATCCTGAGGAAGCGCAAGCTGGGTGCAAGCAGAACCACACAGATACTGAAACAATTGTTTCTATATGTTTTTCAATGGACTTTGTTTTGCAGGAATTATCATTGCGACAACACCTGGATGGACATTGCATCTGGTGGCCAGTGGCCGGTGGTCGGTGGCCGGTTGGCCTGTGGTTGGTGGTTGCCGGTACAAACAGAACTTGCTCGATAGATCCGCTTATCAACCTTTCCCTGATCGAATTTCTGGGCGGGGCCATCCCAGCTGGTCGGGGCTCCCACGGATCTTTTGCGGAGCTTTGGCGAAGCTTTCGCGGATTTTCGGGGCGGATCTTCGGGTCACATCTATATAGAAATGTGCGAATATATCGTATGCGGAAGCTATCTAAACACATTTGAACCATGTCATGGGTTCACAATGGTTTACATGAATTTACAATGTATTACTGTGTCATTAACAACATTCTCAAGAGATGTCAGATGGCCTGATCTTTGCGTTGAATTTCTGTCTTCGACGAATCCATATAGAACCTGGCTGTAACAAAACAGGTTGATGGCAAAATAAACCCACCAGGTGCCGAGGCATGCATCAATCCATGAGAACTCGTTTGTAACTAGGAACTGACTCTTTGCACGTCATCTGTTGGTGTCACTTGATGGAAAACGGATCCTGCAAACAAGCCAGAAGAGCTGAGAATTGAGAACCATAAAGTATACACCTCCGACCTGTTGTGCAAGAATGTGCAAGAATCGTTCACGGATCTCTCTGACCTTTGCTGATGCTAAAGTTTTTGTGAAATCGAGACCGAGCTTGACACCCAAAAAGAAAAGTAGTCATCACCTCGCCATCTGGAAAGATCTGGAAAGATCTGGAAAGATTGAACAAACATGATTTTAACATGATTGAACTGAACACCACATTTGAACGCATTGAACATCGCAGAGCAGACCTCTAGAAAAACGGAATCGAAGCGCTGAGGTGTACGCCCCATCTCGAACGGTAAAGATCCAGTTCATTCGGAGTTGGAACCTACAAGAGACTCTGTAGAGATTGAAAATGATTGAAATGATTGACAGTCCGATTTGAATTTGTTCAGTGTGTAAGAAGATCTGAGAGGATCTGAGAGGCTCCGAGAGAATCTCAGAGGATCTCACAGACGAGTACGCACGACGAGTTGTTCAGAAGGATCAGAATGATCTTGAATGCCAGGCTGTCAGTGGCTGTCAGCTGGGCCTGCCCAATGTCATGATTGCCAGGCACCTGGACAGGTCACGAAGTAGAAACTTGATGAAACTGGATGAAACTAGTTCTTTGGGGCTCTTTACCGAAGTTTGTGCTTTCTGGCTCAATGTGATTGCTTTGCCTTCTGGCTCTGTGATACTTACTTGCTTACTTACTTGAGGCCCAGGGGGTAAGGTACGAACGCTAGCTTGGCAGGGAGCTTGGCACGAAAACACAATGATGCCCCGGGGGGATTGAGCCACGGCCAAACTGCTTGTGAACCAGCCACCGGGGTTGGAGGGGGGGGAGTAGTTAACTATGAAGTTTCATGCGATTGGAGATTCCAGCCGCCCAATACCTTGCTAAAACAAGAGGGACTTTAGCAGCTTTCGTGACTTACTTGCTTGCATGCTTGCTTGCTTACTCACTTCATCTTGCTTCATCTTACTTACTTCAGGCTGTCTGTAGCATTCGTTGCTTGTCTGCGTGAGGCTGAACAAGAGCTGGGCTACCAACTAAGACAATCGGGATCGAACTGTCCACTTCTCTGAGAACCTTGATGGAACATGTCCGATCGAAGCACTGAAAAACGACAAACGGATGCACTTTGTGATGCACTCTGTGACATGTCATATCTGACATGTCATATCTCTAGCTGAGATGACCTGACCTCCTTGACCGCCACTACCTGCTTTGCTGCGTTGATTGGATCTGCTTGTGGTCCAACTGGCCATGCCTAGCTTCGACTTCAACTCCCTTCAACTCCCTCGACTGGACTCCGATTTCGCATGACATCTTAATCAAACTTTCCTGAAATTCACGACAGACAACACGTTTCAAATAAGTTTCAAACATGTCGTATCAGTTCTGCAAGGTGCTTGAAATTGTCGAGATTTGCCATCAGCCAGCATAAGGCTTTCACGTTGGTCAGATCACCACTGACTAGAAGGAAACGTGGTTTCAGCCTGTTGACATGCTGCACAGCTAGGCCTCGGGGACCAATGTGAGCATGCTCACCAGACTGAAACCAGTGTTGAAACAACTCCACTCAAAACATCTCAAAACATGAAATTTTGAGTTTTGAATAATTTTAGCTGTGAAACAATGTGAACTGTGAACACCGAATCAACGGAATCAACGGAATCGTCGAAGCTGCTCTAAGCCTTCAGCTCAGCATTGCCTTTTCCTGCAAATGCGCCAGTGTCTACTTGCAAAGTCCGCAAAGCTTGTCCCAGGGTTTTTGCCAGGTGCTCCCATCTGATCTTTCAATGTTGTGTCATTGTGTCTTTGTTTTGGGGTTCTTGCCCTGATGCTTTGGTCTCGCGTGTGGCTTTGAAAGAAAGATGTGGCGACCGGGTAAGATGTCCACGGAGGAAGCTACCAAAACACAAATATTGATAGAAATTGATAGAAATTGATCCTGCACAGGAATCATACTGAAGTTGTTGAGTTGCTTGAGGGACGACAGCGTCAAACCCAAGTGCCTTCATTGCTGGAGCTGGCTGAGCAGCTCTTCGAGTGGTAGCACTAGACTATACTCGACATTTACTCAACACATCTCAACACATGCCTTGACCTATCTTGACTTATCTTGACGTCAACTGGTGCGTTACGAGCTTGCAAGAAGTATCAAACTATCACCTTTCTACTTTTGAGGACAATGGTGACATCACTGCCCAGTTTCTGATAATTGTCCCTTCCAGACCCTTTTTGTCCAAACTGGGCAGCCTCTTCCCATGACTTGTCGCCATGAAGCATGCCCAATCTCGGATGCAAAGAATACCACCACAGATTGCAAACAGCAAACTACATGCACCTCATCATCCTGCGTACTTCAGGTTCAGCAGCTGAGGATGAGGCTGAGGGTCTGCAAGTTGGACAAAAGACAAGTCACCTCGCCACTCGCCTTCCTGGCACAGAAATCATGAAATCACAATTTAAACTTGACTATCTTGACTCATTGATCTCATTGATCTCATTGATCTCATTGATCTCATTGGCTGTTTAGTGTTGCTGCCGCAGTCTCTGGCATTGTCTCAACGGTGCAAACGCAGCCGGCAGCCTCTGCGACTGTGAGACCGTCAAAGCTTCTATGATGTGCCTAGCAAGACCGCGTAACAACTGCAAAGTGCCGGGACAGGGACTTGACACTCTAAGCCGAACAGCAGATCCATGAAGGAATCTGTTGACAAATCTAATCAAGTGCAGATAAAAACATGAACGGACTAGGTCTACATAGTCTCACTTGAGACAACACACCTGTCATATCACCGCTTCCAACCTGGAACTTCATGGCAAATCGAGCAGCTTGACACACGGAGCGAATGCACCAAGCCTTGCGAAATCGGAAGTCGAAGGCCTCCCGCCTGGACAAAAGATGACAAAAGGTCAAGTCGAGACATGTGGAGACCATCTGTCACCAAAGTCCGAGATAGTCTGAGTCCGACCATTGCATCACCAAAGTTCATTGTGAATCATCATTTGTCAATCCTCAATCGTCGTACCATGTGCGTTTGTGGAACTCAATTCACCGAGGCACGTCTGATCTAGCCAGGCTTCCAAAGCCGCAGCCTTTGCGCGGCGAAATCATGCGAAATATGGATCAAAGATGATCAAAGGATCATAAGTTCATAAGGGATAAAGGATCTCAAAGTGTCTCAAAGTGGCAAAAGTCAACCGGCTCCATGAGATTTTGCACGTTTTCTGGTCGGCTGTATTCGTACCGTGCATCCACGTGCTATGTTCCCGACTGGATCTCCTTTACCCAACTTGTTATCTTCTGCGAGAAGCGCCATCAGATCGGCAGCCTATCGACAACAGGTCACATTATTCTGCTATCTTGGTTCATCTAGATTCACAAGTCTTTCAAAAAACACTATTTGTTCTAAGCCTCCAACAAATTCCACCAAATTAATCCTTGAATGATCCCAAGTGACCACGACAGCTTTCACGCCTCATGCGGTTTTGTATCTTTAGTCCTGCAGAGGTTCAGCCTGAATCAGGAAGATTTGCGGCAGGTTTGCAGTGCTGCGCACGGTGCGTACTTGTGCATTATGTATGCACGGTGGCAGGTGTTGTGGGCGAAGTGTTGCTGTCATAATGTTGTCATCGTTGTTGTCGGCTCAATGATGAAAGCCCGAGACAACAGCTCAAATCACGTGTTGAATGGTCTCACACACCAAATCTGCGGGTCTTGGGGCCTCTCTGACTGGCACTCCCTCTCACAGATATCCCACAGGAAAACGTTTCCGGTTTGAGATACACTGATTTCAACTTATTTCAGCTTATTTCAACTTATTTCCAGGTGTTCTATTTGAAACACTTTGTCAATTGGAATGGCAAAGGATGGTGGTGGACAGGACTTTCCTGTTCTCAGGTCCCAACCCAAGGGCTCGCGCGACAACGAAATGATGCCACGAGTCCACATGCTCCACCTCCCAGCGTGAGAAAAATCGAAGATAAATGAACTGAAATAAGATAAATATGTAACATGTACATATATACAATTTACGATGTCTAATTATATATATATATTCAAACTCTGCATTCATCACCTTGACTTTGGGCAGCGCTCCAGCTATTCTTTTCGCCAAGGCTGTGCTAATCGCTGGTTCTCTAAGTTCATTGGATACTTGCAAAAAGGATCGGCACTTCGAAACGATCATTGGACAGTTGCAAACAGGGATCGTCAGAGCATTTTGAAACGATCTCAAATTAAATCCATCCAGTACAGATCGGCACTTTGAAACGATCATTGGACAGTTGCAAATAGGGATCATCAGGTCACTTTGAAACGATCTCAAATTAAATCATCCATCCATCCAGCTGGATCTTTCAACCCAGGAGGTGGCTGGGGCGGAGGAGGTCAACTTGAGCAGGCAAGTCAAAGGCATTGCGATTCATTCCCACGCTCAACCGGCATGCTCATTTACTCAACATTGGTGTTTGAAACTCTGTGCCATTCAAACTCTGCATTCATCACCTTGACTTTGGGCAGCGCTCCAGCCATTCTTTTCGCCAAGGCTGTGCTAATCGCTGGTTCTCTAAGTTCATTGGATACTTGCAAAAAGGATCGGCACTTCGAAACGATCATTGGACAGTTGCAAACAGGGATCGTCAGAGCATTTTGAAACGATCTCAAATTAAATCCATCCAGTACAGATCGGCACTTTGAAACGATCATTGGACAGTTGCAAATAGGGATCATCAGGTCACTTTGAAACGATCTCAAATTAAATCATCCATCCATCCAGCTGGATCTTTCAACCCGCCCCACCCCGGTGCCGGCGATGCAGCGCGATATCCACAACCACTAACGCAGCAGTAAGGAAATTCCAGGGGGGGCAGGGAGGGGGGCATGTCCCACAGGCCCCCTCGCCTTGAACTTGAAATGAAGAGGTAGGTGAAGAAGAAGAGGACGTAGGCACTGGTACTTGTTGGGGTGCAGGAGCAGAAATCAAGCCCTCCAAGGTGAGAAGCACCCATTCCTCAAGCATGTTAGAGGCTTGAGTCATATGTAGGACCAAGCCATGCATTTCGCGACCAACTTCATTCATCAGGCGAGCTACAAGAGCGAATCCAGCTCTGACACAAAGACGAACCATCAGCGTTAGCAGTGAAGCCAAAACTTTGGGGAATATGACGAGCAGCATTATCAGGCACCAAGTCTTCCATCCATAAGAAAACGCACGAATCTTCTGGAGGCACCACTGGACTCCAGCTGGGAGTGAGCCATGGGAACCAGCAGTGGTAGCACGCCGCACCGGTAAGGGCTCAGCAACCGGTGGGTTCTGACTTCCAGGGCTGGAGATCCAAGCAGGCCGAATCCCATGAAGAGCTTGCATCATCCTGGCCAAAATGGCCGCTACTTTTCGGTGTTCGGGACCACTTCTCCATCGCGCTGCTTGCGCGCGATGCACTGGGTCCAAAAGAGCTTCGTTCATACTAATACCCGGTTCCACCTCCATGCCTTCACATGCTTCTGCAGCTTGTGTTACAGCACGAACAGCGGCATGCGCCAGAGTGGTACTGTCTTCAGCTGTAGCTCGCGTCAGGGCATGGGAAGGTTCAGCCACTTCAGGGGCCAGAGCTTTGTGACTTGAAGGTGGCTCTCCACTTTCCGCCGCCCGACTCCTGAGCCGGCTAATTGGCCTCCGTGGAAGGTTTCCTCCGGCTTTGCCCATGACTTTTGATGAGATTCAGTAAAATAAGGCAATGCCTCTAATTCTGGCACTGCAAATTTCACCTCCCACTGGTTTTCAAAAAGTCTCGAGCCCGAATTTTTGGAGGATGATCCAAAACGCTGATATGTTCATGGACAAAAGAAAGCTGACTCCTCACATTGGCCTTGGCCTGCAAAGTCACGTGCGCAGAAAATGCTTCCATCAAATAATGCTGCAAGGTTGACGCTGCTGTCCAACGTCCTAAAAACTGTAACTCGCCTAGGTTGCGATGCTGTTGGAAATGGTGAGTTGCACCACCCGCGCGAAGTGAACCCAGAGTATACTTGCAATCCTCCAACCCCATGCGGGATAAGGCGTCAGAGAATCTGCTTGCAAAAATATAGCGAGAAACACCTAGCACCAGCTGACTACTAGCCATCCCATCCAACCACCAAAACAACCATCGGACTAGTCTCTTGTCACTACACAGGACAAACTGCTCTCTCCAGATTCGCCTAGTTTTCGGCCGCCTAATAATAACCACAGCATCTGCATCTTCAAGATCGGCATCACACTCAGGAAGGTTAATGTCCTGCCGTCTCAAATTGAGGACTTCACCAGGCCGCAATAAACATGCAAAACACAACCACCACCCCAAAGCTACCACTAACCACTGTCGCTTGCTGAGACCACTGGTAGAAACACACCTGCCCAATGCTGTGATCACCACACACTCCAGTCGAAAGCTAGTGATAGGAACCCGAGTCTTGGAAGGCAGAGCCGATCGCCATCCCTTAATAGCCAGCCATGTATTCCGCAACAAGGGCGAAGAGAGATGAAGTTTTTGTTGTAGAGACAAGACACCCAGAGTCACATAGTATAGCTTCACACCTTCGTCAAAAGCACGTTGAACACCCAATTCCAACCAAGAGTCAATCTTGTAAGAAGGCATCTTTGCGTGTAGTCTTTGTCCCAAACTAGCCACAAAGTTAAGCAACCATATTCCAGCATCGCGACGATTTCGACGATACTCTCTTGACAAACCTGCATTGCGTAACCTCACCATCCTTGCCACTCACTACAAGCCTGTGCCAGCAACCGACAAAAGCCCCAGGGATATGCTCCCGCCAACTTTGCCCTCTTCCCTCTTAAAGGGGGACCATGATGGTGACTACGGTCGCACACCCGAACCAACTTCTTGAACCAAGGAGCAGAAGTCAAAACACGAGTAGGTTTCTTGTTGGGGTCGCCTACGCGGTTCTCATCATACATACACCAGTGAACTTCCGCCAAGAAGACCCCGGGACGATTCATCAAACGACGGGTTTCAGGAAGTTGCCATGCTTTGCTTCCCCGAGGATGTTCACTGAAGAAGAAAATACCCAATGATAGACAAGTATGAGCCAATTACAAAGCTCGCCTCCAAAGTTGGTTCCCCCGAGCTATTTCCCAGTTACTTTCATCACCTTGGGGGTTGCCTCTAGGTCGCAGGGGGCCACCATGATCCAAATTCCGCAAAGGAGAAAAACTACCACCGGGAGGAGCCATCCATAGCCAAAGAAGCAATCGCATCAGTATAGTATCATCAATATTGGGCGACAGCACATCAGAACCATATATAATATCCACCGGGTCCAACATATGTATACCAGCATGTATATGGGCCGAAGTTAACCTCGCTGAGCCTGCAAAAAGTTCCCAACCAATATTCCTACGAATACCCATCCCAAAGCTTCTCAGCCACATAGGACAAGGCAGGGGCGGCGGAATAGGGTTGAATCTGCTGGGATAATCCGCTGGGTTGGCACCCGTCTCCACCCAAATAAACGATAATACCAAATGCGCAAAGACCAAATATGGCACCATGCTTCTCAAAATTCCGTTGAGCTTGAAAGAACTTGAACGCCCTTTTGTGAAGGCACCGCACACCACACGAGAGTCGTTCAGGCTCTTTCCCCAGGACTCCTCCTCCAGGGCTAATTTCTTAACCTCATTTTTCACTGCACGTGCTTCCTGCAAGTTGATATGACTGGTTTGCCGGAAAGTGTAAGAACTAGTTGGCCTCCAATGAAGTGTTCTACCCAATACACTAGCCCATGCAGAAGGTTCTGAAGGAGCTTCCCACTCACTCAACATGCGGTGAAGGTCACTTTCATCTAGACGCACAGCTGACCCACGTACTTCACTCCGCCGCCAAAGTTCAGCGGCCAAAGGGTCGGACACTTCGGTCCGGGCAGCTCCACCTGATGTGGGCGTGGCATCGGTACTCAATATTGAAGGGGAAATTTGATGTCTCATGTCCCAAAACGCAAAGGCTAAGTGAAGTCCCATCGATCGCAGTTCATCCACTATAAAACCTGGCAAAGATCGCCAACCAGAGTTGGGCATCTTCTGCAAAAACTTGTAAATATGATGCTGCAAAGAATAGAGCTCACGCCGATACTGGAAAGCAAAACAAAGGTACCCCAACAGCTTCTGTAAAATATGTTTGGTGCAAAACTCCAATTTGACAACCCGACAAAGAAGCAACCAAACCTGCTGTCGCAACAAAAGGGGGGCACCAGCCGTCCCACGGATACCATGTATTTCAGCCCCCCATGCTTTGAATTCAGTTTCACCTCGGAATGCTTTGTGCACAGCTCTCGGGAGTCCCACCTCAGCATAAGCCTTTTCAGCTTGTTGCACACGCCGCTGATCCTGGTCATCGGAGCTGAGCGGTGGGGGAACAAAAGACCCGTCAAGAGGTACTGGTTCCTCGATCTTGCATTTCTGAACCACCAGCAGGTCATCCAAATACACTCCCTCATATATGGGCCCTGGGGGTAAAGGTTCTCCATAAATAAGTTTTGTGCTGTGAGTGAGAAGACCAGCGCTCTCCAACAAGGCCTCATGCGTCGCTTGTGCGATGTCACAGGCATTCCGATCGCCCATTCCAAGGACTCGAAAACATGCTCTATATCGATAAGCAGTATCATATCCAAATTCGCGCACCAGAATAGGATCAACAATACGGCCAACAGAGTTATACCTAATCCAATTGGAGGGGAGTTCCAGAGAATAATAAAAATGTCTTAAATCATCTCCCGACCCCCGAAGGTATTCGTCTGGCTGCAACAATAACCGGGAAAAACAAGCACCAGCTGGCAGCTTTGCCCACGATAATCTGTTCATAGTGGCATTCTGTGGGCGTCGATCTAAGATCAGGCGATCTTCAACTTCGTTTTTGGGGACGCAAAACAAACCCGAATTTAACAAACGACCCGAAGAATCTTTGGGGAGATCACATTCCCGTACCAACACAACCATCTTGTGTTTCAACAATTTCCGCATCAACCCAATCTCCTCCTGAGGGGCAACACGGTGACAAGAGGGCACCACCGGATCCCACAAGGGCTCAGGCCGACGCAACGACTCCAGATTCTCAAAGACTGCCTTTCGATCTGCCGGCAAAATGCTTGCAGGGTTCACTGTTCCAGCCGCTTCAGGAATCGCCACACACGATCCACTTGCACCTCTAAAGCTCCCGACAGGTTGGCGCCGGCCTCACTAAAATAGCCAGCAGCTGTACACTTCACCGAATCAAAAGCTTGTTCCACTGCAAACCGGCCGCCTTGTAACTCCAAAGTCCCACTCAAAAGGTCAAGGCTTCCGAATTCCTCCACCTCGCCCAGCCATCTATCAGCAAACCTCCGAGCAAAAGCCTCAGACTGATAGGTGACTGGCGGCTCACACACTCCTTCCCTACAATCAGGGCAACCCAGTTCCACATAGTTGCACCAAGCCACAAACGCATTGAGGTAGCGACGTGCCCACGTGGTCCTAGAAGAAAAGCCACTGATTGCCCCTTCAGAGTAAAACGCCTCCGGGTAAGGTAGAGAGCAGGGAAAAAGAGGAGCTGCTGAGCTGTCCGCCACAATGGACAACGCACCATGAGCACTTTCAAGCCAGGCGTAATAACTAACGAACTTTGAATTCTTGGAGCATCCAGACATCAAGGGATCCAAGCGACCCTTAAGCTGGTCATGCAAAAACTTCTTGAAATCAACCAAAGTGACTGAAGATGCTGAAGGATGGGATTCTAATCTCCCTCCTCGGCCTGGCTGGCATCCTTGGCTTCTTTCACTTTCTTCTTCAACTTGGCCAAGGCGTTGACATACTCGCTGACTACGGCCATCTCCTCCTGCGTACCTCCCCACTCCTTCTTCGTGAGTGGGTCGGCTATGCCTGTCAGAAGCCAGGCTGCACTCCAGTCCCCACCTTGCAGCACACTTTGGATCTTCGACTTCATGTTCTGAGCTAGCTGAGCAGCCGCCACTTCGTGCTGACCGTTGCGTAGATATTCGTAGGCAATGGCATCCTGGATTGCGCACCTGTAGATTCCACGGAACTTCCCCCAGGGCTGTTTGGCCAGCCATTGACGAAGAGTCCAAGGCTGGCCGGGCACAATCCCCAACTCGGTGGTGATCTCCTTCTCGAACTTCTTGCAGATGCTGCCTGGCCGACGCTTGATCCGCCGGTGCAGGCGATGGAGCGTTACCACAGCTTTCATCCCTTTTCCAGAGATGGCATCGCTGTCGCTGTCGCTCTCGGAGCTGGAACCACCATGGTCGGTGGAAGCGCTGCTTTTTGCCGACGACTTGCGCCCCTTGCGGCCTTGCTGGGTCTGCTGGTTCAGCATGAAGCTCATCATCATCATAGGCATCAGGTCGGCGGGACTTTGGCCTTGAGCCAACCCTTGCTCCATCATAGTCATGAGGGCGGCGGAAGGATCCGTCTCCTTCTTCTTTGGCTTCGGCTCGACCCCCATTTTGGAAGTGATTGCTCCCTTGGCACCCGGGGCTAGCAACCCAATGGTCTTGGGAAAAGGGAGATCCCCTTCACCATCCTCTGAGGACTCTTCTGTGTCTTCGTCGGAGTCTGGGGTGAGAGTCTTGCGAAGCCGGGCCATATCTTCTTGCACTGTTTTGGAAACTCCTTTGACCTTCGCCACTGGCTTCTCGGCTTCGCTGCTCACCAAAGAAGGATCTTCGAGGCCTTGCCAAGCAGCCAAGCAAATGGCTTGTTTGGGAAGGTGAGTTGCAGCGGGCCATCCTGCCGGGGTCACTGAAGAGAAATCACTGGTGGCTATCCTCAAGAAAGTCAAACTGGGCTGTGAACTGGCTGCAGGCACGGTCAAAATTTGGGAGATGCCAGCTGGGACTTCTGAACTCAATAATGCCACCACAACAGAATCTTCGCTAGCCTCCACTATTCGTCCAACCAGCTTGTGAGAAACGCCACCAGCCCCTTTCAGCAGGAAATAAGCCGCGGATCCAAGCGTCGCCATGGTCTGCCACCCCCTATCAACTTGAGCAGGCAAGTCAAAGGCATCGTGATTCATTCCCACGCTCAACCGGCATGCTCATTTACTCAACATTGGTGTTTGAAACTCTGTGCCATTATATATATATATATAATAACTTATATAAGATAGCTACACTATAAGTATATGTGTACAATCATATACATCATTGGAATCATATAAGTCATCTAAGAACGAAACAAGTGCCGAATTAATGTTAATGTAACTTCGAACGTTGGGAGAATACCAACACAGTGGAAAAATGTGTCAAGAAGGGTTGAAAAGAAGACCTCCAGCAGGACAGGATGATACAGTGTATCGTTGAATAATTCAATTTGCTTGATTGACTGATAATTGATAATCACCATTCATTCATCCTTTGATTCATGATTCTACAAAGATTGTGGCTAAAAACTCTGTGAATTGAAAGTGCGCCGATAGATTCATTGGTTGATCATGATTTATTATTGGTTGATTCGTTGATTGCCGTAATTGATTGAAAGACATGGTAATGAGTGACTTCTCAATTGAGTGATTGAACGAGCAGATGAATTCAAGCGAGTGCTTTGTTGAACGGGTGGGCATGCTCAATCCCGTAGGTAACTACTGACTACATGCCAATGTTTGTGATGCAATGTGAAAACTGTGAAAACCCACATAGCAAACCAGCCGGGTTCCACGCATTACCCAGACCCTGCACAAGCAACGATCCTGAAATGCTCAGCCTATCAAGCTCTGCCTTCTTTCGCACATACAGTTTCCTAAAGAAAACACCGCATTTAACTGCCTGAAAAACTGTGAACATACGGCGTCTCTCCGCAGATTCTGGATGTGCCATGGTCAAAGCAAGGTACTTGTATACATGCGTATTTAATCCAACTTTAGACGCGAAATGACGCGAAGCATGTGAGTCTGACGACAACACAGTCAAACACCCCAGGCACTGGTGGCGGTTGTGATCGACAAATGCACAAGACACAAACTGAGACTGCAAAGAAACCAACTACTGTAATCGTCTTGCAACTTTAGACCATGGCACACATGATGCTGACTACTAGTAGTAGGTGTGACCACATTGAGTCAGTGAGAATGAATAAGTTTGAACAAGCGACTGCGTGGGCGGGGGTGTGGGTTGGTGCTAAAATGAGCAAGGTGAATGTGTCGCTGTGAATTACCAACTGACTACCTGCATACGTCCGTAATTTGGGAGTTTTCAGCCAAATTCTTTGTGGACACGTTGTTAACACACACGGCCGGCCTGGCCGTCAATGACGTCATCCACCCACTCACGGTACAAGACCCACAGTGCGATGGGAACCTACAGAAGTTGGCGACTGGCACTGAACTGCGAACTCCAAAACGAACGGTCGTGTACCTTTCCAACGTAGGAACTGCAGAACGATCATCATGGATCATCTGTTTTTGATGATCTTGGGACTTGGCGCAGCGTTGCTTTTTCGTTGCATTAATCAACCTTGCATTTTCGAGGCCAGTTGCTTCATCAGTGCATCAAATGCTCTTGATGCTTTTGGAGCATCTGTTTGCCAACACAAGAATCTGGGAATCTGGGAATCTGGGAATAGAACCAAGCATGGTTGGCAACAACACCTTCCTTCTCCAAAAAGTCCTCCAACAGCAGATTTTGGCCACTCAAACGGCAGCTACAATGCATGGAGATATCGTCAATCTGTTATTGCCAAAGGATGCCAAAGGATGCCAAAGGACAAGTCTTTTTAATGTCTAAGTCTAAGTTTGATGCCTCCAGAGTTGGACACTGGGATTCAACGCGAGTCAGTTTGTTTGTTGCAGTTTGTTTGTTCCGATGTTTGCTCTGCAATCTACAATTCCCAACCTCAGGAGGAAGATGCACGAGATGGACCAGATTTAACTTCCGGGGCCTCAAAGCTAATGCGTTAATTCATTGTAATTCACTGTAATTCATGCAGTCTGAATTCTTCGATGCTTGAATTCTTGGTCTGTATAACTACCGAGTAGATGTTCCATCAAGCAAAAAAAACAAGCCTTCGCATGGCTTAAGCAACTGCAGAAATGCCATACTGAGAAAGTCCTATCTCCGGTCCTACCTACCCACTCCAATTGTATATTCAGACTATCACGGTTCAGTTTCGCCCTTCCATGTCTCATCAACCAAGAATCCTGCCAGACTTGACAGTTGCTATGTTAACTAATGACAATCGAGACAGACTTTCAAAGGAACTAACGCTAATCGTTAACCAAAAGTGTCCATGTCAAATCAATATCAAGTGCTATACACTGATGTCATGTCTATTCAGTATGTCTTTGGTGTAGTGTCTTTTCTGGAGTTGTATCTTTCAGCTTGAATGGTGGCACTCATCTGGCACTTGTTGACTGTGCTTCTGTGTGCTCCGTTCCCTTCCCAAGCTTTGGATCAGCCAGGGCAGGTACAGAGCATTGCCATTCTCAGTGCTCTTCACCTGAGAAGAACAATGTGGAGCTTGAACGTCCAGACAATTTTTTCCAATGTTTTTTTTGAAGTTTCCTTCTTGATTTCCAAATTGCACAAATCATCTGAATCTCATGAATAGCTGCAGTCCTTCACTTTCTAAGTAACCTGCCAAACTTCCTTCGCAAAAGCACGAGAGAACCTGGCAAAAGGCTGGACAATGTGCTATCATGTCTCCAAATGTCTCCAGATGTCTCCAATGCATTTTGCGCGTGCTATATTTCTTCGTCCCCCCATTCTGAGCATCGTCGACTTGGATTTTTTCCGATTCCTTTGCCCCATTCCTCTCTGTGTCCCTTTTTCCCTCTTTTTCCCCCTGCAACTTCTCCCACTTCCCCTCACGTTGACAAGCCAAGACAAAAGTATGACAAGAACAAAAATACATTGCTTAGATACACTTGGATCATGAAAGCAGTGAAACATGAAGGAAAATCGGTTTGATTTGCCGATTCACCGCACTCAAACCCACATATAGCAATGCGAAGCAAGGACCAGTGACGCCAGCCTTGCCCAAAGTCTGCATAGTTCCAACCCTCTCCCTGAAAGCAGTCTTTAGAAAAAGACCTTTGATTTTTTTATAGGTTTTGATATGGAGGTTTTGTTGTTTGTTGGCACATCGATTGAGATGATTTAGATGTACTGGATGATAGCTATGTGAATGTTGTACTCAATGCGCAGCCATGGGAAACATCTGCTTAGATATGTTTCAAAGGAAAGCGAGCATTTGCTGCGGAATCTCACGGCAACTGAACTACAATTGACGAGCACTGCAGGTAATCGGGCAATATTCAAGCAGGGGAACACAGCTCCAAGTTTCAGTCAGCCGTTCGTAAACACATTGTGGTAAACCCTAACGGTACAGTACATAACAGCGTCTACGTCGTCAGTTGCGACAGGTTTCGTTGCAGCCACTTTTTCACCAACGTCAGGGACGCTGTGACACGTTGTTCCTGGCAGTCTTCGGTGCTGTACTTTCAACTGCCGGTTGGTCATTAACGCGCGCATCTGCGATTGCAGATGCAATAGCTGCATCAAGTCAAGGGATCCTATGTTTTAAAGAAAAAATGTAAAAAAAATGTAAGAATATCATTTTTGATCACTGTTGATCTTTGTATATGTCTGTCTGTATGGATCCGTTTGCCAAGCAACAGAGGGAGACAAAGTAAGAGTCGCAGAGACATGCGTGTTTGCACATATGTATATATATATATTTTGTATACATACAAGACTTCTACATAGGTGACGGAAGTTTAGAAGTCAACGTTCCGACAATATGGACAAATGGAACAGCAGACCGAAGTCAAAATGTGAAAAACACACCACGTTCGGACCACTTTTGGACGTTCAAGTGTCATTTTTCGTGGCAGGCTACACTACACCTACAACTACACTACACTACACCAAACTACACGACACCTACAACTACAGCTACAACTACAACGACAACGACAAGTGCAACGACACCACACAACTTCACCACACAAAAGGAACCACAACCACAACTAAAACTAACACTGCAACTACAACACTACAACTACACTACAACCGTAACTACAACTGCAACTACAACTGCAACTACAACTGCAACTACGTTGCGCTACACCACACTACACTACACTACACTACACTACACTACACTAAACCACACTACACTACACTACACCACACCTACAACTACATCTACACCTACAATTACAACTACACTACACCAGGCTACAACTACCTTACACTACACTACACTACACTACACTACACTACACCACACCACACCACACCACACCACACCACACCACACTGCACCACACTGCACTACAACTACAACTACAACTACAAACTACAACCACTGCACTACAACTACAACTACAACTACAACTACAACTACAACTACAAACTACTGTACAACTACAACTACACTACAGGTAGATAGATAGACAAATAGATAGGCAGAGGGAGAGATAGAGAGACACAGAGAGGTGACAGAGAGAGTTTGAGAGAGAGAGAGAGACTCAGAGCCTCAACCACCTTTCGATCCATAAGTGGGTTCGCTCTGCCATTCATTCATCACAACAACTCACCTCTCCTATAGTTTCCTTTCTGTGAAACTTCCGCCACCGCCTTGTGCGGTACTACTGGTACTGTAACAGTATGCCATAGTAGTGTTGATGTGACATATATACTGCCCATGTGCCTGTGTATGCTGGCTGAGAGTTCACTGTTCATCTTGTTCCATCTATGCAGCTACAAGATCACGCTTGCTGTTTGTGGAAACCGCAGCACCTGATCAAGGCAAGGGTTTGGATGCAACAGCGGGTCACTGTGGGCGAGGTCATGTCTCATCTGCAAGTCGCACTGAACTGTCTCACTGTGTTGCATCAAATAATCATTCAATCTACAGTTAACACATAGCTGCAGCGAAATTTAATCATTCAGTCTACTGTTAACACATAGCTGCAGCAAAATTAACAACAAGTTGCTGTAAACGTCAGTCTTTCACTAGGCTAATCCATTGCTGGATTCTCTAGACTCTAGTCATCTCTTGTCTCTCATTCTGTCATCGCCTCAACATAAGGGTGAGCAAGCAGGTCAAGCAGGTCATGCCCTGGATTCGCTCTGCTTCCTTCTGCATCATTCGCCTGATCTTTCTAAAATGCCGGTGCGATTGTCCTCGTATCAACGACTGTCGGAGGCAACTGAGATCCCTGCTGCTTTAAACGCAAACGATTACTTCAATGACTTCAGACTTCAGACTATTCCTTTAACCTGAAGGTCGAGTCGATTAAGGACGACGGTCGTTTCTGCTCAGCTCTCGGAAATCGGTTGCAATTCTGCATAATTCAGTTGGAGCGCCTCAGCCGCCACCACCACAGAAAGGCGGAGAGCCATTCAACTGTGTGTTTGATGATCCTCCTTCATGAGTCTCATGAGGCAAGAACTCTTCCACATTGAGATCAGTTGAGATCAAGTGAGATCCATACAACATGTAGCAGCGATATGCCTCACATGTTTTCACTATCTTCACTTCTCCTGGATTGATGGTCTTCACTCGCGATTTGCCTTCTACGCGCTTGCTTCCACCTGCAAGCCAATTGATTTGCAAAGCATGCTGCAGGCAGCTGAGTTCAAGCTGACCTTCTGATGGCTTGAACATCGTCTGGAAGAACAGCACGAAGAACGAGACGACCTATGTAAAGCTTCGACGCTTCAATGGATTTGGCACTTCAGACCTTGTATGTCGATGTGTGTGTGTGTATGTATATATGAGCTCATGTACATATTTATAATATATATATATATATACACACAAATATGTCAGCCGCTCTCGAACAGCTCTTTTTCCCCACAATGCTCGGAATGTCATTGGGATGGGAACTGGCGACCCGGAGGTTCAGTTGCCACATCACCACCCAGCTGAACCCCATGCGATAGTTCAGGGAGGATCTCAGCAAGAACCAGGCTAGAGAAAAGAAGCCCGCCACTTCTTCCCCCGAGCTCTCCGGGTGGGAGGGTGAGGAAATGAATTCAGGAGGAAGAGCAGTTCTCCAGCAAGGCTTGCAGCCAAAATGGCCACGTTTCGGCCGCTCAAGACACATTTACAGGCGTTACCTTCGGCCAAAAAAAGAGCAAATATGTCAGCCGCTCTCGAACAGCTCTTTTTTTCCCGAGAGCATCTGAGCGAAGGGTTCTTCTAATAGTGGGAGTCTGTCAAACATTTTCACATCTTCACATCTTCTCATCCTCACATCCTCACATCTTCTCATCTTCTCACCTTCTCATCTTCACATCTTCTATTCTTCACATCTTCACATCCTCACATCGTCACATTCTCTCTTGCCCTCGTGCTCTCTTGCCCTCTTGAAGAACCTCGATCGCCAAAAACTGAAATAAAGTTGCGATTTCTCGCGTCCGGGCGCAACCGTTTCGCACGAAATGACGTTGGATCGCCAAAAACTGTAGTAAAGTTGCGATTTCTCGCGTCCGGGCGCAACCCTTTCGCACGAAATGAGGTTCGATCGCCAAAAACTGAGGTAAAGTTGCGATTTCTCGCGTCCGGTCGCAACCCTTTCGCACGAAATGACGTTCGATCGCCAAAAACTGAGGTAGAGGGAAGGTCTCTCCTTGTCACTGCCCGGCGGCGGCATGCGTGCCTCAATGGCCCTGTCTTCCAATTCCTGGGAGAGCATCAGACATCCAACATCATCGTGGTGCCTGCAGCCTGTAGTCCTCCTATGCCAAAGGTCTCGGCCGGGGGTACGTTGAAATGCTGCCATCCGCTTCCCGGTATGCAGCCTTGGTTCGAGCGATCTTCTTCATGAAGTCCTCGAAATCACTGCCTCTGGAAATCTGAAGGCCATGGTCTCCAGCGTGGTGACCCTTTCTGACAGCAGGACCAAAAAGTCTGACTCATGGACGTCGAACGAAACGGCTGCTCTGCTGAAGGCCGCCGCCAACTGGACATCTGCGACCCCCCCAAAAAAAAGGAAGGGGGGCTATGGCGAGACGGGCCTATCCCAACTTACTTGGGCCGAACACTCACTGGGACATCGAACACATGCGTCTCCAATAGATGTGTCAAAATTGCCACCAAACGAAAGATGACAGATTCCCAGTGGATCTCCAATACTCACGGATTAACACATGGCATGGCATTGGGGTCGCATGGCTGCATGGTAAAAATTGTTCCGACACCTTTGATTTATAAAAGCAGTCACCTACTTGCTAGTATACAGGCTGCGGCTTTCTACTCCTCTGGCAAAGAACTGCTCAAAGCGCAGAGGTGCGCAGTATATCTGCCAAGCTATCAGAGTGGCCTAAGACCGACTCAGGTGAGCACCTCCTTGAACATTAGACGAACTCCCCGTCCTTGTAACCTCCTCGGAGCCACAAGGTTTTCCGCAGCCATCAGGCTTCCCACAGCAGCGCTCACAAAGTGAGTAATCTCCCCAGTTCTCAGAGAGGGAGAGGGCCGCAAAGTTCTTAGCTGGACCCTGGCCGGCAACTTCACCCAGGATGGGCTCATGCACTTTTCCGGCCCCAGAGGTCCATGTCCACAGCGCCAGGCTCGGCGTCGCTGTCATAGGCTCCGAGTGACCTTCCAGCGTGTCCAAATCGATTTCCTGGCATAGGTCACGCACGCAGGCTTTTCCAAAACCCCGTCTTTGAAGGCGTCTGGGAGTTCCCTGGATTTTGGGCTCTCCCACTCCATCTTCATCCACGTAAAACGACAGCAGCATCCATGGCACTCACCGCGGCCTCGCGTGAAACACCTGTTGGAGCGCCCTCCTTAAACATATCCTCCGGACGTTCCCAACAGGACTCGCCGGGAATGAAGTTGAGGGGCCTGCCCTGGAAAACGCTGAGTGTAACTCCGTGTCTGATTTGGTTGAGGGCTTCCATCTGAAGCACGAATCACTAGGACCTGCACTTCACGCAATGGCAAGTAGAGGTCAACCATGCTCTCACTTGCTTTGCGCCAAGCCCCCTGGTACCGGATGGAACGGGTTTTGGACCATCAGCGTCGGCAGCGTATTTTTACATGAATGCCACCGCAAACGACTTGATCTCTGTTTCTGACATCGGGACAGACTTGCCAGCTGCCAGGTCTGCAAGCAATGCTTGACAAGGATAACATCCTCTGCGGAGAGGCGGCAAAAGAGCCTTTTCCGTCCCCCGCACAGCCCAGGAAGCTATGGTCTTGCCAATTTTTTCCGTGCATTGATCTCTGCTAAGACAAACCCTATCGTTGGAGGGGTTGACGGCCAACCAAGACGATGTCCAAGGCCTTGGTCCACTCTTCGTCTTGCCTGCCTTCGCCCTCAAACCCTGGATCGTTTTCCCTCCAACGACTCAGCACCGCTCTACCCCAGAAAGGGCCGTGATAGCCAAGTCACTGTGGCGTATCGATGCTTGGGTGCATAGCGCAGCTTGCCCAGGGCCAGACGACATGACATCCTTCGGCTCATCCAAAACCACTTTCTCAAGGTAATCTAAAAGGTGGATGGAGAAGGGAGGCGCCTGGTTCTTCTCAGGGGCTCGCCTGGAATAGTCACATGTAAACTTCCTGTGGGTGCTTGGTGCCAGGACATGCAAACCCTAAGAGGGCACTGAAGTGCTCGACTGCGTAAACAAAACTCAGTGGGGTCATGAACCCAACTCCTACGGTGATCAACGCCAGGATGTGGTCCTGGATTTCTTTGATACCAAAAGGGTTACTTTTCTCCGCCCCAGGGATTCGAGAGGCATGAGCCTTGAGGAGCCTTGCATACCTCAGCCCTGTTCCTGGAGAGCGGGGTTCTGTGAAAAGATGGAAGCGTTCCTCGTTCACCCCATTCCCATCCGCGGCGGTAACATGCTGGATCAAAGTCCATATCGACGTGCAAGAGGTCTATTGTCCCTTGACCTCTCCTTTTCCCTAGCCCAAACCGGCACTGCCATTTCCCCCCCCGATGAAATGAATTCGGGAGGAAGAGCAGTTCTCCGGCAGGGCTTGCAGCCAAAAAAATTGCCACATTTCGGCCGCTCAAGACACATTTGCAGATGTTACCTTCGGCAAAAGGAGCATATATATTATATATATATAATAATATGTATATAATGTGTATGTATATAATTGTATATATATATATTATGTATATAATGTGTATATATAATAATATATATATATACGTATGTGTGTGTGTTGTATATGTATATAAATCGAGATAGACATGGGGAGAGAGATGGATTATCTACTTTGTTTTTGGAATCGTATACATGCATAGATAGATAGATAGATAGATAGATAGATAAATAGATAGATAGATAGGTAGATAGGTAGGTAGGTAGGTAGATAGAAGGAAGGAACAGGCGGACAGACAGACAGACAAACAAACAAATCAGATTGGATTGGATTGGGTTGGGTTGGATTGGGTTGGGATAAGATTAGATTGCACTGGATTAGACCAGATAAGATTTAGATTATATAGATTGGGTTAGATTGGATCGTATTGATTCATAGATAGACAGATTTATAGATGTATATATGCTAGGAATTGCCAGTAGATGTGTGTGTGTGTGAGTGTGCATAGATACATGTGTGATGTGTCGTAGTTTTATAAGACAAAAAGTGTCAGAGGACACTCAAACTGACAATGCCTAGCTTGTCTACTCCAATGCTGAGGAATGGGCAGACCAGAAGAATCCAGCTACGATATCAAGCGGCCCTTTGGCCCTGGAGAGTGAAGGATCACGATGAATCTAAATTGCATTAAATTGCCACATGTCTGCACATGTTGATACACCAAGTTTTCACGATGGTACCGGAGCCTCTTTTGGAGAGCAGCTGAATTGACCACTTGGCCGTTCACGATGCGAACCATTTGGGAACCTGTGGAGATCCCAACAAGGACATGCTGAGACATTCCCTAAGTATCCAATAAGTATCCTAAGCACTTACAAAAGTTGAGGATGTGAACCTGATACGAACCACTCGTGCTCTGTGCAGAAACCAGTCCGAACCAAGGTCCATGCAAATCCAGACCGCACGGCCAAGGCAAAGCGAAATGAGAAGCAGAATGTTTGGAATGCTACAGGTGCAGCATGCGCTACCTGCTATTAGCTGAGGAGGATTAGCTCGGATTTCATCATGGGCAATGCCATCCGGCCCGAGGGACAATTCAGTGACTGTACACTGCTTTCTGTTATGATAAGACACTTCTGAACAAATCTTCCAAGCCGAAAACAAGCAAGGATCATCGTTGCAGCAGTCATCGCAAATGCGTGCATTGATCTGAACCAATGGACCTCTATCCAAATCTGCTACTCAACAAAACTTCATGCAAAAACATCTCCAGCACAGGCAGCACAGGTAATATTTTGTTGTAGCGTCCGCCTTGTTGTCCAACTCGGCCGCTGTCCCTCAGGTCCTCCCAGCTCCTTGGGTCCACGGCAAACCACGTCCAACAAAACAACGTGGCCGAAGCAAGCCTGGGTTTGGATCCATGAAAACCTGCCAATGCCAGCAAGTCCTTCCCCTGACGGAAAATTCCAAGAAGGAAACTCCTTCCAAGACCCGCAACTGGAACACAAACCGTTTTTTTCCTTGTCATGATGTAGTAGTACAACGCATTGTACTGTGAGTAATGCGAGGAACCTACAATATTTCAGTTAAGGATATTCCAGTGAATTGTTTCCACTTGTGCTCCAGATCTCGTAGTGAAGAGACATGAGTGGCAACTTGCCAGCGCAGCATCCAACTGGCTTTGCCTTTCGAAAATAATTGTTATCTCTATGCTGAGTCATCCTGAGTCGTTCTGAGCATCAACAGGCACTGCAAGTTACCACCTTGTATCTTCGGGATCGCCCATCGAGTGCTGGTTGCGCATTCGGGGCGTTGCATTAAGACACGGCTTCAACAAGCCAAATATGCCTGCAGCATTACTGCAGCCTATTGCTACCTTGTCTGCCTGCTTGAACAGCCCTGCATTTTGGCTGCAAAAACGGCATGCATGGAAACCAACGCCTATTGGCTGTTGGCACCGACAATCTTCTACCTCCCCTACTGCCTCCCAAGAGCTTCGAATGGGAAACAGGCAGCAAAGATCTGCATCGATAGCTGATGCATGACCTGACCTCAAGACTATTGTACATGGTCGCGCAGACCGTGCAGCACATCACTGCATCTTGAAGCATCTTGAAGCATCTTGACTCCAAAAAAATCTCTGATACAGTTCAGCTTGTCACTGGAAGCTTGTCTGGTTGCGCCCAGTCCACGCAATCACTGGCATTCCACTTTGGAAAACAAAGCTAGCAGACACGCTGGCACGTGGAAAGCAAATCAGGCCTCCTGCTTATGACTACCTCATGGCCTGCGGTTGAATAAAAATTTGGCTGCACCCTGTCACCGCCATCAGAAGTCGCTATCATAATTTCAAATTGCAAAAAAAACTGCCCCATGGCTTTCAAACAGAGTGAAAAAAGGGCTGAAGTCAAGACTCCGAGGGCAGTGAAGCTGTTTGCAACTTGCAACCAATAAATCAGCCCGCAGACTCATATCACGAGACTCAGAGTGGCCTTCTGTCTTGATCAAGACTGACATAGCAAAACTACCTTTGCCTCTGCTCCCGTAAAAACATTGACAGCTTGCTAGCCAGGGGCTGTCAGGCTTATTGTTCAGCGTCCTGACAGAAAGCACGAAGCAACTGGAACAATGCGCATGAGTCGCATGAGGGTAGCACGTTCACCCAGGACCCAGCGACGAACAAAGCGTCCCAGCTTGGGTCAGCCAATTTCAAGAATGAGCTGCAACTTTAAAGGCATGTGTCAGTTTTACTCACGCAGGTGATCGCAGGTGCCTACATCCGAGACATTCAATCCCAAACTGTGAACGATGTGAAAAGATTTCATGGTCATATTAGGCTCCGAAAATGCATCCTCTTTGTGCACAAAAAATAATCCTGTCTCGGGCCCTACTTTCCTACACCTGACCGTCAGGTCCTGTTTCACTTGCTTAAGTCCTTTTGTCAGACTTTCCCATAGCTAAAGTACCCTGCCCTCGGTATGTCCTTACGAACTTGTTGTGGGTAATCCGGCTCAAGCCTGACAATGCCACAGCTGCTACAAATATATAAAGAATTGGAGCATGTTGGAACTTTCAAAGCTTCCTTGGCTCTGACTCTAAAACAAACAGCACGTGCTCTTGAACCGGTCAAAACAGTCCGTCTATGTTCCCGCTCTTAGCAGACTTAGCACCCAGCCACAACAGCATTGCCACAGTGAGAGCAAAATCCTGGGCGCAAGGGCATCAGCCCACTTAGAACTCGTATCAACTGAACTAAACTAGTCAACAAAAACGTGATTCGAATCCGCTGAAACGTGCTTTGCAAGATGGACAAAAAATCAGCCAAAGTAAGATGCCGACTCTGGTTTGGACTGTGCTTGGGCTTTCCACAAAAAACGCAGAACCTTGGCAGTGTAGATATAAGAAGCGCCGAGAGCTACAGCGGCTCTACTTCCAAAGCATGTGCCTCCCCCTCATAGATGGCGCACCGGCACCTGGAGCTAGAAAACTCTGCAAAACATACGGCCAAAGCCGGGCCAAAGCCGGGCCAAAGCCGGGCCAAAGCCGGGCCAAAGCCGACCAAACTTCACAGGCCTCCAGCTGCATTTGCCGACCAAGAACCTGCCAGACATGCTTTTTGTCTCCAGCTTCAGAAACACCTTCCATTTGATTGTAACATTTTGCGATTAATGCAATTTGATGCAATTTGATGCAATTTGATGCAATTTGATGCAATTTGATGCAATTTGATGCAATTTGATGCAATTTGCAATTCAAATCATTCTGCCGTTTATCTTGGGGATGCTGCGCGCCTCCCGGAAACCCGTTCGGCTTGGCATACATGGTGCCCTGACGAAACCGACATGGAGCAAAAGCAAAAGCACGAAACACTGCAAATGAAAGAAATAAAACAACAGGGACGGCAGCCTGATATGGAATGTCGCCATATTGTTGCATGGCGTAGTAGTTGCAGAAGCTTTGAGCATTGTCCGGTATCTCCTGACAACAAGCATTTGCAGCTGTATTCAAGCCAAGGGGTAAGCAACATGTTCAACGAGCATCAAGAGACTATGTTTACAAACATGACAGAAATGGTTGTAAGAGAGAGGTCATCATGGGATTTGCACAACCTCTGTGTCCTGCCCGGAGCTCTGCCAACTAGGAGCCACAGGAGCCAATTCGCGACTCTCTGGAAAATTTGCAGTGACAAAGTCATTACCACCCTAGGCACGAGACATGGATTCGCTAGAATTCGCCTGACTGAACTGCAAGATACCGCAAGCAGGTACAAGTAGGATACAGTAGGTATCAAAATGCAAAAAAAAAAACACCCGGGAATATGTCATGCAATCAGAAGTCAACCCCAAGGTAAAGCTGCTTCCATGGCCCTGACGCTGGGAGAGAGTTGCTATTTCAATGCCACTCGTATGTCAAGACAGAATTCTTCGAGTATCGGTCGAGGAGCTGTTGTAGAAATCCTTTGCCCATCTGCTTCATAGTGAAGTGCAGTGTTCCTAGCTGAGGTTTCATCGTGCTGCACAACAGTATGCAGCAAACTCGAACGGAGCCTCTTGGCAGCAGACTTCAAATCTGAGGCACCGACTTGCCCAGCACACTCGCAAGCATTGATACTGTCGTTGAAACGTCGACTGGCTTTACAGGCGGCTGAAGGCCTCAGCTGAAGGCATATCAAGCCGTATGAAGCTGCATGAAGCCAAGGAGTTTCAAGTAAAAGAGAGGGGAAGAGATAAAGAAAGAGGGATAACGGAAAATGGAATCGAAAGAAACACGAAAGTCCATCCAAACTGTCTGAACTCCTATAGCAAGATATCTTGCCCAGTGCTCTGCTTAATGTCTCTTAGGGTGTTGCCTTGATTGCACGGGATGCTGCGATTTACAGGTTCCTGAAACAGAGCACAGGCAGCTGACAGGTTCGTGGCGAAAGTTGGCAGAAAAACAAAAAAAGGCGAGCATAAAACATTGTGCAAATTGTGCAATTTTTGCAATGCTCTGCAATCTTTATTCCTTTCACAGCCCCGTCCCCGACAATTGCCAGAATAGAGCTGACAGCGGTGTTGAAATCAAGACGTATCAAGACGCATACTGACACAGTAGCTGTCTTTGTGTCCCGTCATCGCGTCAGTAGTTTTAGATGGCCTTGTGCAAGTCACTTGTGACACCTGTGATGTCATCCAATAAGCCAGCCTAAGGCAAGGAGAAGAGTTGCCAGCCACCAGATGCCGCAGGCAAAAGATGCAAAAACTGGGAGAAATCCGCCCGTACCGAAGGTGCCGAGGCGTGCTAGTTTAGCAGCGAGGATGCGGACAGATCAGTCAGACTGGTACAGCTTCAGCTGGGGGGGGTGGCCATGTTCGACCGGGACAGGGCGCCAAAGTCGGTTCCCCGCTGTGGAAATTTGCACATTTTGCATGTCGGCACAACATCGTCCGAATGCACCCTTTCGATCTGACATGGTAGCAACATCGGCACATGCCCAAGTTGCGCCATGTTGGACCCCAGTTGGGCTCAAGTTGGGCCCAAGTTAGGGCCAACTGGCCGAGTCCTGTTCCCTGGGTGCGGGCGGTTCTCGTCGCAAAGCGACTCGAATACTTTCGAATCTGCAAAACTCTGTGCTAGCCCTGTGAAACTTGCCATCGTTTCCGAATTTTTGAACATGTTTTCCTTTATCTAAGAGAGGTGCCGGCAGCATGGATTCCGCTGAGCGATTCAGCTCAGTCTTCAAACGGTCCTGGCAAGCGCTTTCTCTTTGATCAAGAAACAGCATGTTTGTATTGAATGATTAAATTCCTATCCAACTCTTCAAAGTTCAAATGTCCAGGATCAGGTGAGTTTTCATTCATTCTTCGTGAAATGAGGCGATCATTGAACACCGTTGCGCGATTGAAATTTAAAAGTGGAAATGCCTCACTGTCTGCCAAAGGTATAGGTTCCGGCTCCACCTGGGGCCATGCAATTCGCGCAAAGTGTTCCACTTGAAAATGTCTGATTCATTACCAGATCCCAAAATCGCAAAAGGACTGATTTTTAGTCCTGTATCGTAACGTGATCAGTACAAACACCAATTGAAGAAGAGCCTGATAATAAACTTGACTATACACAAAGCTTGGGATAAAGATAAAACACTTTCTTTTGCTGCTTGCGTCCGTTTAGAGGAGTGCCTCGGTTGTTTCGCTCGCTTTGTCTTGAGGCTCCTTGCACTAAACTTGGTCGAAGTGGGTCAAAACATTGTCAGATGCACAAGAGGCCAACAAACCACCAAAGAAAAAGGCAGACGCCCTACTGTCAACGGTTGCCCGCAGAATCGGTTCGGTTGACGTGACAAAGGATTCTTCTGGAACTGACCCTCAGTCTATCAATCCTCGAAGACGAGTGCAAATGCCCCTGGCATCCACACTTGTTTCTAGAATGTGCAAGAATCATTCAGAATGTTCATGAATGTTGTAGGTGATTTGCAATTCATCGTCTAGCTGCAACAAGTGAAGTGCGGCTTTGCATCGCCTTCCAACTGCATCTTGTTTGGCTTCCAGCTTCCCATGCTCCTGGGGCTGTCAAAAGACATCAAGCACGCAATGACATATCATGACTACAGCGCTGTATGTAGCCACTAAAAGTCCATCCCTGTCTTGGACTCACACTGTGAGAAGTCATTCGCCTAAGCGAATGACGGATGATTTCAATGAATGAATCTGAAGGTCATGCAGATCATGCACCTGAATCTCACGGAAGGATTCATCGGCCTCTGCTCAAAGTTCTGAAGTCTGGAGCATATTTCTACGTTCGCTAAGTCTCTGCACCTGCGAACTCACCGAAGCCATCACCGTCCTCTGCAACATAAGTACATAGGGGCTCTGGCATGACAAACACAAGTCTTCATCTACTGGAAGTGATCCATTAGTATCTACTGGAACAGTATCACTTCTTTTTTCATCGATCAATTTCCTACTCTCAAACCCGATTGGTAATCAACTGGCAGTGGCAAACAAAAGGAGACATCTTTCGGTCCTGAACAGTGAATTCGGCTGGCCAGGAAGAAAGGTGTATCCAGAAAGAACGCACCCCGCTCTGTCCGGTATCCAGCTATTCTGCATGAATGTTGGTAATGGGTTGGTGACCTGCATTGCATACGTTATTTGTGTCCATACTTGTCTCAAATCCAAACCAGTAGCAGCAAAGGCCAAGGGCAAACGAGCAGAATTTGCACAAACATCGCGATTGAGCTGAAAAACTCTCAACCAAGCGTTTGCACACAACAATGGACATCCTCGTTGCATCCTTTTTGTCACACTAAACACACGCTGTCTCTTTGAAACAGTTGTGCCGGGTGCCTGGGAAAGCTAGCATTGATGCAGGAAATGCACCAAAAAGGAATTCACATCATGAATAACATCCTTTTCATATGTTGTTTTAACTAATTACTTTTTTCATATGTTCTCATTCATTGTTGTTCACATGCGTTCATGGCTTTGCAACGCAGTAAATGACAACAGTCTCATCCCTTTCCCTGCAGCAATGTGCTGGGTGAAATCCTTTTCACAGTGCCACGTGTGGACACTACCTCTGTTCATGGGCCATTTTTCCGCCACTTAGCAGAGGCATGAACACATGTGGTCTGCCAATGGCAATGCGCAAATCAAAGGAATACCAGAATAGTAAGTTAATGTCACCAAGGGTACCAATTCAGCAAAGAATGTAATCCATCACACTCTACCGCATGTGAAGCTCGAATCAGTATCTCCACATATCTCTACTCTCTAGACATATCATTACATGTGGTTTGTGGTGGTTTGTGGCGGTTTGTTGTTTGGAAATTCCCACGTTGCAAGGGCTTGGAAGCGCTGCATGTTGCGATTTCGAAAAATCTTCCAACCTCATTGGATCTTATCCAGAAGGCACTTCTCCACGGCCTAAACATCGGACACAGTGTGCAGACTTCGAGTCACTTCCGTACCACTTCCATATACCAATTCCATATTCATATACTGAAAATATCATCCAATCTCTAAAAATATCTCTAAAGATGTTTGAAAGCGTTGAAAATAGTTGAAAAACATGATAGTGTACCAGTGTGTACAAGTGGTCCAATTGGTCCAAGCGGTCCCAGCAACGAGCATCTGAAGAAAGGTTTTCAATAAATTCAGCTGCAGACTCTCTTTGATTGCCGGAAGCGAGCTCACTGCCTCAGAGTTCCAAAGTCCCAAAAGATCCAAAACTACATGATAGAGGACTCTTTGGTACAAACATGAACAAACCACAAAAACTTACAACACCCATTCAAGCAAAAATGCTTGCAACAAAAAACCCGCCTGCTCGATGAGAGCTAAGTCCACCTTTGGCCGATCTGGAGGTGCCTGCTGCGGAGTCCTTCAGAGCATCAAAACTTTGAGCATCCCAAGCATGGTAGTGTCGTGACACTACCATACCAGGCCATATAAGGCCATACCAGGTGCAACATTCTGCTTGCCAACAAGTAGTGCTCCTTGTGGGCTCGAATGCCTCATGTCAGAAAACCTATACAGTACATCAGCCAGCTAGGGTCTTCTCTAAGTCAGGGACTACTGCGTGCAGACTAAGATTTAATTTTAAAAAAATGTGTTTGGGGTTTGGGTTGCCACGTTCAATATTATCTAAGGAAAAGATCGGGACCTGGCGTCGTCAAGTCAGGTTCATACGCATTCAAAACCATGTGTTGGCCATGTGAATGCATGGTTGATATAGGTTGCCTCAATCTAATTTTTTGTGGGATTCCCGCTGAGTTCACTACGTGGAGCCTTCATGTTGCTTGACTCAATGTTCTGAAGACATCAAAGCAGTTGTTTTGCTCACTGAGCCATTGCGTTTGGAGGAAAGGAGTCGCTGTGCAAGCCTTGCGCCTGAATATTCAATATCACATCTATGTGTCCATATCTATATATCCATATTCATGTCTATATTCATGTTCATAATTTTGATCGCACTTGTTTTTGTTTTAATTTTTGTATTCATACTTCTGACATACATACATATATATATAGATAGATAGATCGATACATACATACATACGTACATACATACATACCTACCTACCTACCTACGTACATACATACATACACACACACATACACACATACATACATACATACATGCATGCATGCATGCATGCATTGCATTGCATTGCATTGGATTGCATTGCATTGCATTGCATTGCATTACATAACATTACATTACATTACATTACATTTCATTCATACATACATACATACATATATTTGATTACATTAATTACATTAATTACATACATTACATTAAGTACATTAGTTACATTAGTTACATTACATTACATTACATTACATAGCATTGCATTACATTACATTACATAGCATTGCATTACATTACATTACATTACATAGCATTGCATTGCATTACATTACATTACATACATTGCATACATTACATACATACATAACACTATGCACAATATAATTGTACAAATGTAGGAATTGAAGGATACATTCATACTTCCCTATGGCCCTATGGTATAGCATGCCAGCCAATTGTCCAACATCCTGAGAACAGAGCTCTTCCAGACGCCCTGGGAGAAGCTTCCTGAAGCATCTGTTGCACCAGGACCCATGTCATAACTGTCATAAATGAAAGCACGCAGCAAGGATGGCTCATCCTCATAGGGCGAAATTGCGGCCTTTTCCCGTGGAGTGTCATGAGTGTCAAGGACAGATGATCCGAGTGAGAGCAGCACCTTACGTTCAACAACTGTAAAAGGGCCATTGCAAGGCACATTGCAAGGCACATTGCAAGGCACATTGCAAGGCAACTTCCTGCAAAAGCCAGACTGCTTCGCAGCTTCATGAGCCACCTGAGGCCCACACGCTGGACCCAGCATTGCTCATTCTGAAGGCGGAACCCTGGGCACAGTTTGAGAAATGCTGCGCTGCTTAACGTTTGAGGGGCTGTCCGAGCTGCATCAGCTGCCTCCGGCCGTTACAAACTGGACTTAGTTATCTTTGATATACATACATACACACACATATATATATACACAATCACAATTATATACATTTTTACATATCACTTCACACAGGCGCTTTTCTTCGATGCGCTTGCTGCGTATGTTCCACAGCTGGTTGTTGCCATAGCTGCATACCAACTGCGTTGCCACATCTGTAGCATAGCACCCAAAGGCACAAATGGAGGTGCAGCAACAGGGCCCTTCCACATCCAGTACCACCAACTTTCACGTGTGATGGGCTGGGAGGGCCGTAGGATCCAGTGGTGGGTGCACTTGAGAGGCCTTAAAAAGGAATCAAAGGACAGTGATCAGAGATACTTGCCATCACTTCACACAGGCGTTTTTTCTTCCATGCTTGCTGCGTATGTTCCACAGCTGCTTGTGGTAGTTCAGGCCATAGCTGCATTCCAACTGCATTGCCACATCTGTAGCATAGCACCCGGAGGCACAAATGGAGGTGCAACAACAAGGCCCCTCCACATCCAGTACCACCAACTTTCGTTCCCGTCTTCTCCATGCGTTGACCTCATTCGTCTCTTTCACACACAAAATAAAACATACCATGTGCTCGGAGGAATACGAGCTTGGGAGAAAATTGTTGCTTTGTGCAGCACCTCAAAAGAATAAAGTCCGCTATGAGGAATACGTGTTTCTTGGACTGCTCAGGGACTCTTTTCAAATACACTAAAGCTGTCACCTCCTGGACGTAGATGTCCATCATTTTCCTATTCGCCCACCTACCCAGGCCTTTGCAGCAAGTCGCCATTGTCCATGGTCTGCATGATCCAAGTAGCAACCCCCCTGATGCTAATTCAAGCGGTTTGACACCATTGGTCGCAAACCTGCTGCGCAAGGTATTCCCTGAATAGGGCCCAAGCCTCTGGCGCGATTCAAGGGGTCCCAAAAACAGCTCAACGATCCTCAGCATGTCTGCCATATCTGTCTTGGCTGATTGATGGCGCGCATTGGAGAAGCCCGTCTTGGGATCCCTTATTGACAGCAAGCCAAAGGGCAGGGTCCTATCACCATCCATGGGTAGGAAAAGATTTGTTCCCATTGCAGCCAAAAACTCCCCGGGCCTGAGGGGTCCACATGAAGGCAAAAACATCTGCGAAACGCGTCCACCTTCACAACATGCTTGTGGCAAAAATTGCGAAAGCTATTGGACCAGGCATTGCAGCATGGTGTGGGCTAGGCTCATGCCTATTCCAGGCAAAGCCAAAACCCCAGGCTCCTTGTAGCATACGGCTTCGTGCAAGCTTCCAGCAGTTGATTGCATTCAGTGTTTCTGAGTACTTCCCATAACTTTTGCCGTTATCATACAACCAGGTTGATGTCATCAATATGGCGCTGGTGATGTTCAAGCAAGGCTGCAATATCAGGCCCCTGCTCTGTTGCCCACATGAAAAACTCATTCGGAAGCTGCGTCCTGCGCTGCATCGTGACTGGCAGCACTGGACGGCCAGAAGGAACTGGAGGCTTGTTCATACGAATCGCAGCCTTGGTCCTCTCCCCTGCAGTCCGTGGAAACAACCGCACGGCTTGCACGGCCGGAGCAGAAGCCAACACCCCGACGAAAATCCACAGCCGATGCAGGGAACGCAGGAAGAGCACCCCAAGCAATCCACGGCAAAAATCCAAAGAGAGAGAGAGAGAGCATGGATGAGAGTGGATGACAAATTTGGGCGCAAAATCCAAAGAGGAACTGGAGAAAAAGTGAAAGTGGGCCTTCTCCAGGGTATCCCATCGTTTCATTAAAATCCTTCTGATGTGCCTTGTGGCTTCTGGACTCAGACTTCATCAGGGAGGATTGGCGAAACATTGACCGGTCTGGGAGGTGCAGGCAGGTGGGCCCTAGAAGGCGCAGCACCATTCTAACCCAGAGTGATGCAAACCGCTTGGTTTTTGGCAGTTCGGGGAAAGGTGATACAGATCCCCCTCTCTCTCTCCAAACTGACAGGTCCAAACTCCCATAGACAGGTCTCAGCACCGCATCTCTTGTAGGATCGCCTGCTGGGTTCCAACGAGTTGGGACATATGGCAGCGTCAAGTAAAGCGATGCTGCAACACATGTAGCCCCAATAACCCTACGAAGCACCGTAGACAAACCTCTGGATGAGGACCGCCCCTTAGATGCAGCCCCACGAACCACAAAACTATCGGCCAGAGCTGAAACACAAAGGGGACACCTGTAGCTTGATAAAAAGATTACCAAACGTAAAATTGAGGCCTCCTCCAAAATGTTTTATGTGGCTCTGCTTTTTGAAGGTCCATGACTTCTGAAGGTCCATGACTTCAAGACCTACCAGCTGGATGCCAGAGCAACCTCATTGACCAGCTGATTCTCAAGGCCACCAACCTCAAGGTCAAGCCCTTCTGTTCTCCTCCCCTGGACATCCAACATTGCTTGGCGAAACCTGTCTGCCAATGCCTCCACAAGCCGGGGCACATAGGTTGCAGAGGCCTTCGTGTAGGCACCCTGTACCCGGACATGCTGTCCATGACAACAGCATCTCTTGGCAAGCCGGGACAAGGCAACATTCATACCCAAAAATCTGAAAGGTTTGAAGTGTTCAGACCCAAAAAATGCAGGAGCCACACCTAACCTCATCTGAGCATGATAGGGCCCTGACAGTCTTCCAACCTGGCGGGTGCTTGAAGTAGGAGCTATACGTGGTCTCCAATATGCCAGCACAATCGTTTGCTGCAGCCGTGTACATGAGCTGGGCACCCCTCTGACCAAGCATGCTGCCTGTTTCAGTTTATTCATCCTTGGTGTCAAACCCAAAGGGAGCTTGAGCGCTGCGAAGGCGAGGCCGACGCATGACTGAGAATGCAGTGCAAGGAGGAGAAACCATAATGGCCTTAAGCCGCTTCTCAGCAAGTAGGAAAGTAAGCCACGCGCAGATATAGACAGAGGATAGGTCATACTCAACCGAAATACCAACGTCCAGGGGGGGCCAACAACCCAGCCTCTATTCGCAAGTGCTGAAGATACCAAACTTGCTCCAGAAAAAACTTCGATGAAGTCGAACTCATATGCAAGCGGGCGTTCTGGCCCTTGAACTCTCCTGTCTTGAAGTTTCTACTCATCGAAAAAACCATTGTTGCGCAAAACCTGCTCAGCTGGTGAAAGCAACTAGTGTAGCTTCCTTTTGACCTGCAGCTTTTCCACGATGCTCTGAGGACCTGTGGGCTTTGCGGAGCCCAGCAAATTACACCTTGCACCCGTAGCAAACACAGCAGGAAAATACTCGGCTCCCAAATCAGAGAGAGCCAAAGGAACTAAGCAAGCCAGAAGGGCTAGCTGATTGGCAGGACTCCTTGGTAATCTCACAAGCTTAGGAACATTGGGGTCCACGCAATTCTGGTGCACCAAATGGTAGCACTTTGAGATGATTGACATCATGGGCCTGCGAAAAGTCAGGATGGAAACCCATCCGCCACTGAGGCAAAGATGAAGAACATCTGTTGTACTGCTCAAGCTACATGAAGCCAGGGTGGTGAAAGACAAAGCTATGCGCTTTGCTGCAGGAGCACCAACTGTGCAAAGCTTCCTACTCAATGCCCTCTCGCTGGAGTTGATGTATGCTCCCACAAGCTTGCGCTCATTCTCACCCACAACATCTGTGGTTGGAGACCCAAGCAAGTCCGCTGCTTGGTATGCCACCTGGCTCTTGGCGTAACATAGAGCTGCCTCACTGGCGCCAGTGTCTGTGTTCCTATCTTCAACACTTGCGTTGAACTAAGCTTGTCTGACCTCAAACATCGAGAGGCCACCAGCCTGCTGAACTCATCAAGCAAACCATGTCTCCTAAGCCAATGCTCATGCGCTGAAGCTGCAATTTCCACACCTGCATGATCACCTTGAAGTACTGAGCCAAAGCAAACCCAGAAATGCTCTCTAGGAAGCGCTTCAGCGACCGGTGATTCACCAGGATGAAGGGTGAAATTGTGAAGTGCATCCCAGTCCTCTCCCAGCCAAACTTCTTTTGCAAAGATGACTGCAACATGTAAGCAGAGAAGGCATGGGTATCCTTAAGCAGATCAGCATGGACAGAGGGGCCAACCGCATTCGTAGAGGACCTCGCTGGAGAAGCCCATAGTTGATGATAATAATCCTTCCTATCTGTGATGATGACAACAACCTTCCGGGCTGTTCACATCAACCTGAACATCATGTCAGCACCTGAAGGAAGATCTCGGCCTGGTCCAGCGATGTGGCACTCAAGGGATTTCTGCCCTCTCCTGTCACAAATCTGACTGTCCCAAAGATGAGCTAGCTTGGCCACCTCTCCAGGAGAATCACGGCAAACAGGATGACAAGCTCTCGGTAGGCCAAAACCAACTCGTCATGTAGATGACTGGTGACATCCCAATCGCCATTCCCATAGATCTTGAGCCTACCTGCATTCATCTGAGAAGGGGGTCAACTCGGGAGCAGCACTGCTGTCCTTGGGGACATCAATTCCAGCAAAACCTTTCTCGTAACCAAATGAAGCTCCTCCCTGAACAGTCAGCAAATTGCTGAGCTCGGAAAGACGTGCAATCAATTCATGATGTTTTCGTCCTGACTTTGCCATTGGAAAAGACTCCGCTAGGCCGTCTGACCTTATCAAAGACGCAAGCCGAGCAGACGGTCTGTTTCTCACCCTCGCCCCAGGAAAAGACTGAGAAGAAGGTGGATGAACCGGGACAGCACGCGAGGGGGATGGCGAAGCAAGCCTTGTAGAAGCACCCAAAGGGATAATCCACACCCCCAAAAAAATCCAATGCAAAGGCCGCAAAAGAAAAGGTGGATCCCTGACGGCCCGCAATGGAAAGGGCAAGCGAAACCCCACGAGATCTCAAACAGCAAGCCAGCACCCGAAAGCAGCCGGTCCACCCACAGTATGCACCTGTCATGCACTTGAGAGGAATCAAAGGACAGTGATTAGAGATACTTGCCAGATATTATACATAATGCGGTAAATGCATGATGTCTATGAATTATATTATGCATTTGTGTTGCATCAATTATTTTTGATTAGAATATATTTAAAAATATTTGAATTATACAATGCATCCTTTGACCTGGCCTGAGATCTGGGATGAACAGTGTAGTAGGCATCGGTTGGTCGCATCTTGACCCACTTTGGCGCCAACAGGAAAAACATCCAGGTATGCTCACCAGGTTCGGCCTGGAGTAAGTCAAACAAAACACAACGTACGAGACTTACAAGACAATAAATTGCAAAGATCGCAAAGAGTATTGATCATATAAATCATACAGTATATGATAATCAGATATCATCAGCTTCTAATGTGCGCACCCCATCTCGATCTGGCAACTCATCGCTAAAGTCCCGCTGCATTCCCCATAGTTGGCTCACCTTCCGTCTGTAAAGCCATCAAATACAAGTCGAATGCGAGAGCTCAATCATGGATATGAATCAAACCCTCCTTCACATCTTGTCTTATTCGGACTCCCAAAGAGTTCAGTGGCTTTCTAGGACAAATCATAGCACATACTCAGCAGGTATGGTGGGACAGTGCTGGACCAGCCTTCCGGAGTCCAAGTGTGGCTAGCAAGTCTACATCTTTTGAGAGCACACCCATGTACCTGGAAGGCTGTCATCGCAAAATCACTCAGAAGCCCCTGACGTCCCAATGTGATGACAGTGATGTCCCAACGTGACGTCTCAATGTAATGTCAAACGGGCACGCTGTTACACCTCGTTCAGAGTCGACTGTGTACATGTGAAACGCAATCTGGATCAAGTCCTGGCCATGGGGCAGCCTGCACCACTATGTCCCGTTCTGCCAATTTCGACAAACACACTTCTAACTCTTCAAGTGATTTCAAGACAGATTTCCATACTGACTGATACTTGTTGCATCTTGATTTGAAGATTTCAGAATGAAATCTGCGAATGTTAGCCACAAAGCTTTGTCAGTAATGTAGGGGAAATCTGCAGACACCTATTCTGATGCTGCCCAACACAAGATGTCATCATGTTATTTGTCTCCAAGAAGAGAAGAACAACCACTGAACTCACCCCCCTCAGGCAGATTTCGGGAACCAACAAAAGTAGGCGCAGGCGGATATCTCCACCGAATGAAATAACAAGACAAAGTAGCTTTCCACAAGAGATTGTTTTGCACAAATTGCAGCAATGGAAATGTAGTCAACAAACTTGGAGACAGCTTCATTGATCCCTGCAGCAAGATGCACCAAAACCCTTATCCGATCTCAATTTTGGTTGCAAGTAGCAGCTAAGGAGCAAGTGGTAAGGAGCAAGTTCATGGTGCTAGGTTCGCGCCCTCGCACCTGGTCTGTCGCACTGACGACCACTGTTGAACCTTCCCAATCTTGATCGACTTTCTTCTGCAGCCGCTGAACCTCAAAAATTTTGGAGGCGTCCAAAAAAGTCATACCAAGTCACTCCGGACTCAAACGATAGGATCCACTAGGCCAAAGAATCCAAGATCAACCAGCAGCAACCCCAGCAGCACCAGCGGTATCAGCGGTACCAGTGATATCAGCTGTACCCCAGAAATCAGGGAAAGGATCCACAAGAAACCAAGGCAAGGACCATGGTGGGAAGCGTCATACGGCTCCCTCTTGAATTGTCTTCCAACCCTTTGCCTGTCAGATGCCAGGGTGTGCATGGGTGTGCCAGGACAATGAGTGAATCTAACAAGCTGTGTGCGTGAATGGCATAAACAGAGAAAAATATATATGAGCAAAACTCTGAAGCAAAGTTCACTCTGATGTTTCACAAGCTCACATAAAACAAGCTGTAGTAACATGTCAGGGATGCCCCTGCCAGCCAGAAAGGAGCTTTCCGAAGTCATCTGCGCCTTATCCTGCAGACCAGAGGCACAGTTTGACAAGTGTGTATATATAACATTATATAGTATATATATATACATAAATGTTTAACAGGCTAACGGGAGTCTAACAGGTTTTTGCAACATATTTATACATATTTCACGTTTTCACGTCCTTCCTCGTTTTCACACTAAAATACCACGCCTGGACCATCCAGGCAGACTGCTGGGACTTCAGGAACTTCTCCTGAGACCTTGGCAGAACGGATACCGAGCTGTCGAGGTCACCGAGATCATCGAGGTCATCGAGGTCGCCAAGGACGGAACTTGTTCAACGAAGTCTTGGATCCGACCGCCACGGACCGTAAAAACAGCTTTGTGGCCTGACCATGTCGGCGCATGTCGGCGCATGTCTGCGCTTCAGCAGGATCGTCTGTTGAACAGCCACAAGTCTTAGGCTATGAGGTATCGACTTTCATAAGCCTGCATAGTGGGTTAAGACAAGGACTTCAAACTCCAGCCTCCAATTCAGCATCTTTGTCGCCTCCAAGATAAGGATACTGCCTGCCATAAAAATGCAACTTCAAAGAAACATGACTCGCCCAGAAGAGAAACAGAAAAACACAAAAGGGTGAGGGCTCCATGTTCATTGATATGCACACGCAAAAGACACTCCCTTTCCTTGCAAAACAAATCTCTGCCAGACTGACAGAAGCATTGGGCAATCTTTCATACACTGAGAATCCATAGACAATCAGATGATACGACTGATACGACCCTAAAAGAAGCAATGTCGATATACCAGGATGTATCCCTCTGATCTGATTTATGGTGGATAAGGCAATCCTCCATCTGTGGTGGTTTCACATACTACATTTGACCTCATGTTACATACAAATGCTGCTAAAAGATGGTAAAAGGGCAATTAGAACAAGCCAAAGCACTCTCTGTCTGCGGTGACCCCATGGAGCATTGGCTCATGCTTCAGTCTGCGTTCCTGTCACACAAATTGAGGTGACATTCATCATTTGACATTCCTGGTCCTAGTCAAAACTCAAAACTGTAACTTTGAGATACCAAGTACAGCAAAAAAAGACAGCTCATATAGCTCTAGATTGACTCATTCAAACGGCTCCAGATCTCAAATCACGGCACCTGAGAACTGTAGCGCCAATCGTGGTTTGCTATCTTCATCCGCTTGTCAGGATCAGCTCCCCTGCAGGTCGTGCCCCAAAAAAAAACACCTATTCCAGGCAGCAAATGCACTAGTCATCAAACACATATGAAGGGCTCTGGTCCTGCTGACAGAAACAGTGAAAGCAAAGTTGCAAAAATAATGAAGAAAATGACAGTGTCGCTCGGACTTGTAGGCCACACAGGCCAGACACAAGAAGTTTTACCAAGCCGTGTGAAAGGTAAAGTCCCTGCCTCGCCATCAATCCTCTTCTGTCCTTCTACGCGAAAGCAATGCTTATTGGAAATGTGAAGAAAGTGACAACTTTTGACTCAAAGGCAAGTCACGGCAAGTCAACAAATGCTTCTGGTACGCATGAGAAAAGAAGCTCCTTGTACTCCTCAGGCATGTATTCAAACTCCTTCTCATGGCCAAAACTGTCAACTTCAGCAAGGAAAAAGGTGTGCTCATCGATTGAAACAGCGCTTGAAGATCTTGAAGCAAAGGAGAAGACCTGGATTTTCCTCTTTCCCTTCCTCGTCAATTTTTTCTCCCTCCCCACCCGTTCAATCCTTACTCTTGACAACCCATGCATGTTTGCTTTGGCCAGTGGAGCCAGGAGAAAAAGAAGAAGAAGAGGAGATGCGAGCACCCACGTCGACCAAGCCAAGAGGACTGTCAACTTGAATCAGGACGCTGCCACGAATTCTTCTTGCATCGCAACTAAGTACGAGTGATATCAATGTCAATATCAATATAAACAAACATTCGGTTCCCTTGACCAAAACAAAACTCTGTGATAGAGATGATAGAGGTTGCACAGGTCAACCTGGTTCGTACCGTTGAATATCCTTTCTTCAAAGGAGGCACAAAGTTTGATGTCAATAAAATGCTGAAGCAGTCCATCCATGGAAACACAAAATTCCCACAAACCAACCCGAAAGCAACGACGATAAGGCATCAATGCAGTTTCGTCAAGTTACATTTCAGCACCACGAACTTTGTTAGTAAACCACCCACTCCCCACCCAGACAGGTTCCCAACTTAACATACAGTTAAATAAATAAAGCTGATCAAAAGGTTGAAGTGATCTTTGGCCAATCAGTGGACCCTATGTTTTGCAGCATTGCAATCACTGCTGCACTGGAGGGAAGCAGCCATGCTCATGAGTGCAATGAAGGGCGCCACGAAACCTGTTTATGTGCTAAGCAAAACTATAATGTTCGATCCTGATAGTAGCCTCCACCCCAGAGTTGCGTCATCTTCGACCTTAGGGTCGATGTTGCTCAACGTCAAGTTATTCTTGTCGAAATGACAGCTGCATGGTAGGAGTCAGAAGAGGTCTTCTAAATGTGAAACCAAGTTGCTAAATCTGCTCTTAAAGTTGGAAATCTCTGGAATTTTCCTAAAGTAGGAAATGGAATGGAAATGGGTCGCTTAGAAACTGGCCAGGTCTGTGGGACAGGCTCCGCTAGCCGATTCCGTTCCATTCGCTGCCGTCTGAGCAAGTGGATAGCATCAGGCCTTAAATTCCAAATGCCATCTACATGGCCGATATGGCCCAACCAACTGCCTGCCAAGTGGCAACCTTTCAAATTTGCAACATTGCACTCCGGCGTTGCTTTGAATGCATTGTTTTTTGCTCGATGGCAAGCATGTAAGTGCAGTGCCCTAATTCAACTGGTAGACATTCCTTCATCCAAGTGTAGTTGCCTGTACCTCAGAACATGCAAACCAATTTTTCGCATCAACATGTTTTCCTACAATTGCTGTCAAATTCAATTTCCCTCTCTCTACATGTCTCTTTATACTTCCATATCTCTCTCTCTCTCTCTTTCCAAGTTTTTCTCGGTTTCGGTTTCGACCGTTTTCACATTGACCCCCCCATTTGCTTCCTATGTGCAATTTCCATCAAATTCCTGCCAAGGGAATATGGAACTTTGGAAACATGTTGTTCTCGGGTATGGTTTTTGTGAAAGAAAGAACATGTGTGTCTGAGCCATCCACTGAAAGATTGCCTGATTATGTCCTGTTCGTGGTTGGAATATTCCATGGCCTTGGGTCTCCGGAATTTTTGGCACAAAAATGTTCAGTTGTTTTTTCCGAAAATTGGTTCGCTGCTGTTTGTTTGCAACAAACGGCGGAGTGGCAAACTGGGCGCGTTGCACCATTGGCATGCGTACCTTGTGCATAATGTGGTTGCCGCCTGCCAGCTGATGAAATGGAGAAAAAATTGCACAAACATCAAAGTTGTAGCAACTGCAAATCGAAACATGCGGCAATTTTTGGGTACGATTTAACTCCACAATTCTGAACATACTTGATTTGATTCACAACAATCTCATTGAATGAAAAAAACAAACAAAAACATTTCTCACCACTCACAACTGTCAAATTAGTCTAATTGCATTTTGTTGTTTTTAGGAACAAAAAAGGTGTTCGAACTCGAGTTTAGAATGACGCAACAAGCCTGGGCCGTTCTGAATCCAGCATCCTGCAAATGCATGCGCGCAAAAAATAGTGTAAACACAAAAAAATGTTATTTTGATGTGTTTCCATGGTGTTTGCATTTTTTAAAACACTATCCAAAGTTGCAATATGTCAATTTTGAGTGAAAGGGACCACATACCCCGCCTGCCCTGCAGCTGGTGCACACATTGTGGACCGGTTGACGCATCAGCTAAAGCCTTGGGCCAAATCCCAGATCAGCAGCCAAGGCGAAACCAACCGTTCACGTCGTTCACGTGTAAATGTATACAATGTATGTTATAATTCGCAATAAACATGTTCCCTGTTGCCATTTTGGTTTCATCATTGGCGGTCCCATTCTCTCAATTTGCAAATGCAAACAATATGATTCAACTGCAAACCATCTGATGAACATGACAGCCGTCAATAGACATGTTCAATGATCGCATTGCAAGACACTGATTGGGAAAAATCATTGTCGGAAAAATGTAAGGTGGTTTTGGGTCCACAGCAGGACATTTCCAGTTTAAAAAACATAAATAAAGAGAACACGCGTTTTATTTCAAAATACCGGCACCCCTTGTTTGACCCTTTCCGTCTGCTAGTCGATTTGGTCAACAGGCGAAAACAAAATGACGACCATCTAGTGGATCATCTGTGGACGCACACCATAGTTTAAACAGTTTCAAAGCATTGCTGGAGGCTCCAATACACGACTGGTTTCCATTTCGAACTTGAGAAAGGCTGGGCAAAATGTAGAGAAGGTGTAATTTTGCAATGGAAAAACCTGTTCCAAGAAGCACATAAACATGGGGTGCAATGAAAAAGGGGAACGAAAAAATGAACAATGGAACTTTGTCGGCGCTCTCTGTGGGCAAATTGATCCAAAATCAACTAAAAGGTTATCACCTTCAGTTGCTCCGGCACTTGCAGCACTCTCTACACATGTCCCCAATAGAATCGAGGGGGGGCCGACCTTGAGTGGATATTTCCTCATTGTACAATCCAAAAACATGATTACAAGACACAATGCGCCACCTTAATGCTAACGCACATTAACCCAGGTACTTGACTCTATCGTTTCTGATCGCCCTGTCAAAATCGGTTTGTCTCAAAAATCATTTGAGATACTTCTAGGTGAATGTTCTACCAAGGATGATCCGAAACCAACACCTCGGCTGAATTTCCCAAGATCAAAAGAACGGTCCGAAATCAAAACGACCTACCCCAAGAAAGGTAACGATACACAACCTATCTATATACAACGCAAAAGTTGCATCTTCTGACTGACGCACTCATTAGCCAATGTTTTCTGGCATGTTGCATGCCTGTGCCAACTGCTAATTGTACCTTTATACCCCGAACCTCTATAGTTAGAGTTTTGTAACCATACCTTTGCAACCCCATACCTCAACATATATTTCTACACTTGGCTCTAATGCCTCCTTACCCATACCATTGCAATTTTGTTTCTTTATTTGCACCCAATTCTGCACGTCTACCTCTACTTCATATCTTGACCTCATACCTTTGCCGCTAGCACCTCTATACAGGTATTTCCACCTTTTACTACTTCTAAGAAGCATCGCCAAACCGGCTCGACTAAGTTGGAGGAGGTCTCGTCAAACTGACCCTGACTCGCAAAAGCAGTTTTGAAAAACAGCCCGAGTTCTTTTTAACTTGAAAGCAAGCAGAGGCGGACGAAAGGTAGTGTAGTGGGAGAGGAAAACGTTGCGCTCCTTTTGTTCAGCACTGGCGGGAGGTGTCGCAGTAGAGGCACGCTCTCCCTGAGGGAGATGTCCCTGTAGTCCAGCATAATTGGCATGTTTCACTGAGGAGGTACACCCATTAGTCTCAAGAATCACAATACTTTCCGAAACTTGAATTAGATTCAATGAGTTCCCCCCTGCCCCCAATACCAATGTTGATACAGACATAACATAAGTATGAAAAATGGAACGCGCCGGCGCGCGATCAATCTAAGAGGCCTCTCGTTTGGACAACGTCCAACATTGAAATTCCGGAGGCAAGGGGATACACATCCAGCAAAGATGAAATCTAAAGCCAGCAGCCAGACTACAAACACAGTAGTTGCTGAGTGGCAAACTTCCTCTGAAACACATATGGACTTGCCATTCTCTCTCAAACATTGAGATCTGTTCTAACGCTTCCGGCAACATAAGCAAGCATCAACCCACCGGGAAAAGACTCGAGAAAAGCGCGTTGGCTGCCAGTACTCTAGCATGCTGTGTTTTCGTATGTGCAAACCCCGAACAAACTCGGAATACGCGTCCAATCAGACAATTTACAATGGCAAGAACACTTCAAGTAGCGAAGCCCTGGCACGCTGGTTTTTCACATGTCCAAACCTCAAGCAAACCTTGTTCAAACCACAAATCTATGGGGCCGGAACATGCCATCAGGTGCTTAGAAGTCAAACTTCCGACAATATGGACAGATGAAAAGCAGAGCAGGGAAGAGGCAGAGAGAAGAGAAAGATTAGAAGAAAGAAGAATAGAAGAGAAAGAGTAAGAAGAAAGAAGATGGAGATGCGCGACAAGGTGGAAAGTCGCAAACACTGTGTTTTTCCAATGATGTGGGGCTCCAGAGGGTCGAAAAGTAGGCTCGCTAAAGCGGCGGGTGCGGAGCCAGCTGGCCAGATGAGAGATGAAAAGTCGCACGCCGTTGTGGCCCGAAGCAGATTTCCAAGTCAAATTGTGCAAAACACAACAGCTCCGGACCACTTTTGGAAGTTGAGATGTCAAAAAAGTGCACGCCGTTGTGGCGCGAAGCACATTTTGAAGTCAAAATGTACAAAACACACCAGGTCCGGACCACTTTTGGAAGTTGCAATGTCGAAAAAGTGCACGCCGTTGTGGCGCAAAGCACATTTCCAAGTCAAAATGTACAAAACACACCAGCGTCGGACCACTTTTGGAAGTTGAGATGTCGAAAAAGTGCACGCCGTTGTGGCGCGAAGCACATTTCCAAGTCAAAATGTACAAAACAAATGTACAAAACACGAAGCACATTTCCAAGTCAAAATGTCGTCGGACCACTTTTGGAAGTTGGATGTCGAAAAAGTGCACGCCGTTGTGGCGCGAAGCACATTTGTCAAAATGTACAAAACACCACATGTTCGCGAAGTTCGGATGTTGAAAAAGTGCATTGTGGCGCGAAGCACATTTGTCAAAATGTACAAAACACTAGGGGTTCGGACCACTTTTGGAGGTTCAGATGTCGCTTCGCCGCTTCGCTTCACTACACTACACTACGTTACATTACACCACACTCCACTATACTACACTACATTACACTACACTACACTCCACAAAACTACAACTACAACTACACAACTAGACTAGACTCCACTACACTCCACTACATTAAATTTCACTACACTACATTACACTACACTACGCTCCACTACACTACACTACATTAAATTACACTACACTCCACTACACTACATTACACTACACTACGCTCCACAACACTACAACTACAACTACACAACTACACTCCACTACACTAAATTACACTACACTACACAACATTACCCTACACTACTACACGCCACTACACTACACTACACTCCACTACACTACACTACATTACACTATGCTACCTTCCACTACACTTCACTACATTACACTACACTACACTCCACTACACTACAACTACAACTACGACTACACAACTACACTCCACTACACGAAATTACACTACACTCGGAAGCTTTGAATTTGACTTGAGTGGTTCAAACATTTTTACAACAGGTCTTTTTGGCGCTGCTTGTATTTTGGTGATTTTCGCTGCCTTCACCTTGGTTTGAGACAGAGTTGGAACTCAGTTGGTTTAGCAGACTTCGTTTGAATCAATTCTCCTTTGTCTTCCAATGTTCGGTCGAAGTGTTTAACTGGTTGTTTACAAACTGATGCAAACTGGTTTTCGAAGTTACAGTTATGACTGGTCACAACTTGCAGTGTGGTTTGATGGAACTTTTCTTGAAGAGCCTTATTTCGAGAAGCTTTGGCTTGGAGAAATTTTCAGATACCCACCCTCCCTGTCCCTTGTGGATAAGGGGGGTGAATCCTGCGAAGGGGTGCAGCAGACGTTTGCAGGCTGCATCCAATCTGGCTATTTACATTGTTGGGGCGATCCGACAATTGTTGCAAAGTTTCAGATTGCGCTCCAACGATGCCTCCGAAGTCGAGCAGTCGAACTGTGCAGGAATTCACTACTGCTGTGCCAAAAAGGTTGCAAGGGCCGATTTCAGATGTACAGTTTCTGCCATTTGTGATGTACCTTTTTCGTTTTTTTTCCTCGGGTTTGGCCGATGTCGCACTGTGGCTCGGTCCTAACATGAGTATAAGCAGTTAAAAACGAATTTGCACACGGACCCAGAAGGCCCAGAAGTGCGGGCAAATCACAACGAACCACAACAAAAAGCACAAACAAAAACGAAAAGACGACCCGCAAATCCCCCAGCCAGATTTGCGTTTCGTCAAAGCGAAAAGCAGCAAACCAGACACAGAAAAGGGGCCGGAGCCCAAACAACACCCACCAACAAGATTTGCCAAAGGACACAGTGGTTTGACCACTGTATCTGTCTCAAAAACATGCGAAAATGAATTAAGTACCACGACATTCAAGCATACACGAAGGCCTAGCCCGGAAGCATATCCACTTAAGCGTAGATGCGCCAAAGCTGTACATAAGCCCGGGGCAGCGAATTATGCCTCTCTCAGCGTCCTCTCAGATCAGCTTGTCCAGAAGGCCTTCCATGGGCTGAATCGTTACCATAGATTGCGCTTGGTACCTTTGGGCTCCCATGTAGGGCGCACCCTGGGGCGGTACCCTTTCCACCACAAAGGACGTACACGGTCTCCCTGTGTATTCGCTCGCCACAAAGGCGGCAACCCGCAGAAGCAAGCAACACTAGACCGTTGATGTGTTTACCTTTTTCGTTGCTGGTGCAAATGTGGTTTCGGCAGTTTCATGTCCTCCCCGATTTCTCGTGTGAAACATGTTGTTCGATATTTGGGGTTATTCCTTTTACGCGTTCTTGCGTCCTCCTTTCCTATCTAACACATAGCATAGCAATTTTTGATTCAACTCTCACCGACACAATTTTGGTATTGCGGGCCAGACGGTTTAGTACCCTACTAAACGCTCCGCGCTGTGGCGTGAGATCCATTTT